TGTACATTCATTAAAAAAGTAAATTTACGAGGAGGAAAATCTAGAAATGAACAACGTATTTTCAATTAAAATTAATACAACTGTGAACAATGTATAACATACTCAGTCAATATTACACTTATCCTGTACAACAAATTGTAATTAAGATAACAGAATTAAAAGAAGTTAACTTACTGTAACAACCAACTCACATGACGCACTGGAATTTTTTTTATAATATATGTATAGCATTGGTTTCATTTTTACTATATTTAACATGGAGATTTTTCAGTCTGATAAGGTTTGTCCTTGACACAAAACAGTGTATTGTGCTATCAACGGTCACGTAGATTGCATTAACATGTTAATCCCCTGTTAGTCGTTGCTATGAGTTGAATGAAGCAACTAATACTATTGCAATGATATGAGTATGCAATCTGTACTTTAACCCACATTTGCAATGCACTGTAATTATCTTTTTTGTTATGTGAACCTTAAATATGTTTCATAATTATGTACGTCACAATATCCTCATTTCCTGAACCCTAGCAACTTTTCATCAATTTAAAATAGTGCTGCCACTGTGGAACCTTTAGGTTTGTCCTTTCTAAATTCAATTTATGATTTAGTCACCTTGAGCATATGTCGACAATATACATGATATACCTGAAAATATCAAGGGACGATATGAAATGTGAAAAATAAATTATATCGATTACAAAGATAAAATTCATACTGGCACGTTTTGGGTTTTGAAAATTGTCTGTAAAAGTGTTAACAGTGTTATCAATTGTATGTTTATCCATGACATAACAGATGTGTCACGATACTCATTTTATTTACACTGTCACGTTACTGTACTTAACTTGTCAATAAAATTATCATAAACTAAACGTTTTTTCTAAATTATAGCGTTTTGATAGAAGGTTAAACAGGCAAATTACCCGTAAATTTTTGACTGAGATTCGTATAAAAGATCGAAAACAAACTGACAAGGTCATGGCTAAAAATGAAAAAGACAAACGGATAAATAGTAGTACACAAGACACAATATAGAATTGGACTAAACAACACGAACCCCACCAAAAATTAGGGGTGATCTCAGGTGCTCCGGAAGATTAAAAAGATCCTACCAAATGTGGTATATTTTGCTCATATTACTAATATATATATTGCTCGTATATATATATATATTCATATTATTACAAACTCGGTAAATAGTCTATTTCAGTAGGTCATATTCATAAAAAGGGAACGAGATTATAGTTACGACATAAGGAGTAATCCAAAATCATCTGTGAATCGGATATTCCGTAACGGTCAACCAACTCGTGATGGCGTCCCTACGAAGGGATGATTTCAACCTCACCATTTCGAACTCTTGGTTGTATGGTATAACTTAATCAGATCATGTGGTTAATATAAAAACAAGGGAACCTTGTACCAATCTAATCATATGATTTCAAATTTTAAAATGAATACAAATTTATCTTTACATGAGATATAACAAAGTTATTAAAACCCACTTTGATAATATCATTCCCTGCGTTTAATATCAAATATGCATTTTAAAGATATATATCAGTTCATCAAGTGCTAACCCAGACATTGTGCAGCAAGTGACATCAAAAAAGACTTTTATACTATTTTTTTACATCATGGTCGTTTAGGTACTGTAGTACCAAACAAATTGGTAAGACTAGTATACATACATAGTTCATATTTTTATTTGTCAGCCTCTGTCATTTTGTGATAGCATGCTCGTCTTGAATGTTTGATATAGATGCATGGTTCGAAACCCGGCGGGTTAATGCAAAGTGTTTAAATTTCCATTCTTATAATGCAAGTGCATGCATTCGCGCTGACCCATTTTACTTTCATCGCCTATTGATACATGAACAATGTAATATCATCATTAACTCTTTCAAATGCTCCACATCATTGAGGTGTATTTATTGCCCGGCATTTGCCGAGTTATATCGACATGTCATGCGATAACGGAAAATAACCGAAAGCAGTTAACAAATGTTTATATCAGTCCGCTAAGCACCATTTTATAAAATATGGAATTTGATTTTTAAGTGTTTTATCATTCTGTAGAAATTATGATTTATTTACTTTAAATATACGAGAAACTAAAACATACCCTGGAAGTCAATCATATATTCTCAGCATGGCAAGGGAATATAATTAAACATTCAATCGTTGATTGACCGTTGATGATCGCGGATTTGTTCCAAATGCCGTTACTACAATCTCGTCCCCTTTTCCCGGATGCAACCTACCGAGTTACACCTATTAACCGTTTTGTTGCTGAAATGACAAACACAACGGGTGCCACGTGTTGAGCAGGCTATGCATACCTTTCTGGAGCAACTGAGATCACCTCAAGTTTTGCTTGTTGCTTAGAAAATCATTACAAATATGCAAATGTTGAAAAGGTACAATTGGTTCACTGTGCTTAAACAGCTGTGGGTAACTTAAGGTACCTACAGCCCAAGATGGCGGACTCTAAACTCGTTGATATTTAAATCTTACAAAATCTATCTTTTGCGACGTTTTTCATGCAGAATGCAAATATTTATAGGATTCTTGAATAAAGAAATCACAATTACCATATGTTTGTTACTTAAGAGTTCACTAAAGCGCAAGGCCAACTTTAAAAAAAAACATAAGACGTCCGTAACGTTTCGATCGAAACTAGCAGACTGTTCAGTAACTTTATTTTCAGATGTGGGTAACTTTTGATTTAAAATTTTAAGAGTTATAATTTCACGATTAAAGGAAAATTAACATCATAAAACCCCTTATTTGTAACCTACACGGCCGTTTATACAGCTCATTCACCACCAAATGTGTGATTTTATTAACGCATCATACTTACACAACGGAAGTTTTATGTGGGGTTTGTGGTACTCGTTCCTGGTTATGGTTTGAACTTTTATTTACTAATGTGTGTCTTATCGACGTTTTTCGCTTCGGACCATGGCTTTGTCATACTCTTTAAATTCTTTAGTTTAATTATCTGTTTGCGGTTTACTTTCACTTCTGTTTCTTTTTTATGTGTATTTTGATGAATAGTCTTTGACGCGGCTCGGTATTTATACACCCCATCAGTAAGTTATAGTGTTATGGTTTTTTGAATATGTTTCCTAGTATGTTTTATTTTTTTTCTCTTTGTATGTTATCAGGGATTGTTATACTATTAAATTTCCCTGTTGTCTTAGTTATTTATATTTTCATATACTATTTCTAATTGTTACACTATGTTGACTGCTCTAGTCCTTTTATTGTCACTGACTTTTACCTATTGTGTCTTTTAGTTTTGTTCAATTTAATGCAACTTGCATACAAGTGAAATATGCAGCTAGCTGTAAAACTAGGTTTATCCATTTTTACAAAATGTCCTTTCTTCAAGTTTTCTCATTTACTGCAAATCTTTAAAGTTCGAGCATCGATTGCAACAGGCCACTAAATTCTAATCGAATCGTTATGTCATTGGACTTAAAAATTAAGTGATTCTTTTTTTTTTAAATTAATGGAAATGAATGGCTTTTGAATATACTCGTTTTTGGCTGAACCTTTGATAATTGTCATTTGATTTTTTATACAATATAATGATATGCGTCAAAATAACCAAGAGAAAAGAGACTCAGAACATATACAGTAGCTAACGTTGGGGTACCCAAATCACCCAGACGTAGCACCGTGTCGCAATATCGTGCGCAACGTCCCAGTGTGCCCAGATTGCCAACCCCCTTTTATTTTACTGTCAATTCTGATGGGATTTTTTTTTTTTTGTGGGGATGAGAGAAAAGTTTTGTTGCTTTAAAAGACGGAAAGAAGTTTGTGCATTGAAGTCTCGTATAGTCTATCCACTGCCTGGGCAATTTGGGTTCCCCTCCAAAATCCCGGATTCACGCTACCCTTGTCGTTGCTGGCAGAAAATCAGTAAGTGTATACACACCACATGTATGTGTAAAAAATACTTGTGTAGTCAACTTGTTCATAAATAAAAAATCAAAAATGATGTTTCAACAGTTTATCTGCAATGGTCGGAAACCACCCTCCGAACTGGGCGATTTGGGTACCCCGACGTTATACAAAATCAGACCAGAGTTTTACGGATTTATCGTTATTTTTTCATATTATTCCCAATTTTGTCTTTCATCGATACAATGAATTATATCATACTGAAATCTTCTTTATTTCTGATTATGTATTCGATACAATCTCTATTATAAGTTTAAACATTACATCCACGTATGTCGATTCTTTGAAAGTTACGGACATCCCTATTGGTATAATGAAAAAAGTTACGGACAAGTTGTTTTGAAGTTACGGACAGCCTAAGTGTTTTTTCAAATCGTGCTGTGAACGTTCATTTTGTAGAATTTAATCACCTGTTAAGTTTAGGGGTATTCCTAAACGATTAATACAACTTTTCAATTCAGTGGTTTAATTGATGCATTCATGGTACTGTTATTCTATAGAAGAGAAGTCTCTAATCGACGCAAGGCGGCTCCATCTTTGGCTGTGGGTAACTAAAGTTACCCACAGCCGTTTAAGCACAGTGTGGTAAGTGTTATAAAACAAAGTTGCACAATCTCATTTTCCGGTAGCAGTTGAATTTTATATCGTGCATTTCTATTGTGTAATATAGGAGTATTGGTTGTAATTATTGATCACACCGGAATAATTATGAAATATTGACTGCTAGACATAGAGCAAATCCTCCCTCAAATTGATGACGTTAAATCTCAAGAAAGAGTTTCACGCATTCTGCACGTTAAGAACTATGTATCAGTATTTAAGAAACACCTTGATATGTGTACAATGCACTTTATCTCAAAATTGTGTTTCAAGAAATTTATGTACCACCTACCTAGTTAAACATGTTTAAGTGTTTTCTCTTTTATTGAAATGTGATTTGACATGATATAATCTCTCAATTGATTCAACGACATAATTTTCCACAGTAAATAATTGAAGGAAAACAAAAGAATAATGTAACACAAACATTCTATCAAAAAATTTAATAATTACTTAAAACTATAAAACTAAGAAACATATATTCTTCTATAAATACAATAAAGCCAAGCAAGCCATTTGACAGCGTCAAAAGACACTTGTGAAACGTGGAAGTATTATGTGAATCTTCATTGCCATTGGTAAATATCGTTCTTCCACCAAACGACTGTTGTTGTGATGAGATTTAAGGTCCCCCATCAGGACCGTTTTCCAATAGGTTTTCTTCCTAGCTGAAAATAAAATGAAGACGTTCATACACAGGACGCAGAAAGATACTCAGATAGTATATAAAATAAAAATAGAAGTACAAAAATGTATGTCACAGCTAGTTAAAAATGTCATTATTCAGTTGTCAGTAGAATCATCGCATTTGCATGTTTAGAAAAGATAACATTTGGTGTTGGTTTTTTGTTTTTTTTGTCTCATCGCATTTTGCTAAAAAAAAATATGTGAAGTAAGAACGTTGTACATGATACATGTATTTGTGGAAATTGTCAATGCAAAAAAAAATCCTTAATATCAATTTGTTTAAGAATTAAAATGTTGTTTTTTAATATACAAGACGAAACTTATTTTGATGACACGCACACCAATCCTTATTTTTCAAATTGTATTTCTAACTATACTACTGAAATAAATTCAATGATCAAACATAGATTCACTTAAAGTATGGTTCATACCAATTCATTTGACAGAACGTGTTATCTATACGATATAAAATCTAACCACAGCGATATTTGGTACATTTTGGAGAATTAAAAATTCCGCGTTTCCACATGATCATTATTGATTAATTTCTTTATTATGAAAGTGAAGGTAACATGTTATACTGATTTATAATTATGTTAGAAGAACAAATGACTCACCTTTACTCCCATCAGAGTATTCGTCTTTTGCCCTGAACTTTATTAATTATTCATTCTGAAAGAAACATGTGATCAAGATGAATCGGCAATATTCACAATGTTTTTATCATTTCATTCTCAGTTATCGTTTATGTCTTCTATACTTTCCTATTACTGTCTTGCAAAGAAACAAGATGTTATATATATTCGACTTATGTTGCAGGATTTAAGACTTTTTTTGTTTTAAATAATCAATATTCTGATATAAAAAGTAAAATCACAAAAATACTGAACTCCAAGGAAAATTCAAAACGGAAAGTCCCTAATCAAATGGCAACATCAAATGATAAAACACATCAAACGAATGAACAACAACTGTCATATTCTTGACTTGGTACAGACATTCTCAAATGTAGAAAATTGTAGATTAAACCTGGTTTTATAGCGCTAAACCTCTCACTTGTATGACAGTCGCATATACCATTTGTGCTCTCAAGAAATAAAATCTCAAATTTTATCTAGGTATATACATTTAGCAACAAAGCGGGCATTAGTTTCATTTCTATTAAATGAACGTGCGTCTTCTTGAATGAGAACCAAACACAACATTCAAAACAACCGTATTCTTCATATACTGGAATTTTTCATTACCCATAATGCTCAATTTTAATTCATGTTATTATTCAAATCTGCAGCAGCCTGCATTGAGTGAATAATCATACCCTGCCCAATATAGATATAATATAATAAAATTAAATTAAAAAAACATGAATGAACCAGTGCAGGACACATTCCGATTTGTTTTTCGTTTAACAAAACATTCCACAACACTTGAATCAAAATTCTATCACAAAAATGACGAATAGAATTATACAATTTTGTTCAAGTGAGGTAATTATATCAAAGTCGAAATTATGGTCTGCTCCTTGCCTATTAGTACTCGAGGGTATCACAATCTCAGTAGTCAATATTTCGGTTCTGATATGATTTATAACAAACCTTTCTAAAATTGCCCGTTTGTAAATTCATGATATTTTGAAATTATAAAGAAACTAAGGTTTCAACTCCGTCAGGCAAAGTTGACCTTAAATGGTTTGGCTATTGTTTATGGTTGGGTTTTTTTTTTGTAATATAGCTCTTCAACTGTTTAGTTCTTAAACACTCTCGGCTTTCAAATATTCGGAATTGAGCATTCCCTGTGAATTTTACTTCAGAAAAGCGCTTCGTCGCATCAAATAATTTATCGTGTTGGTTTCATTTTTCCTTCAGTTTGGCTAAATGTCATTTGACTGTGCAGCTACATACTGCTTATAGTATACCCTTGTAATTTCTTTATTCACTTATTGTTACGAGTATTTATTAAGGGATTATTGACCTGATAAACATTACATCTTATTATTTATTTTATAGCTAGATCAACCGTTCACTTTTATGAATGTCGCATTGGATTCCATTAAATTCACAACAATGTGTGAGCAAAAGAGATATTATAGGTAAAAACTTCAAAAATTAGGACAAAACCGTCAACATTGTAATAAAATCTTAAATCACTATATTAAACAAAATGGCATATAGACACAGTACAAATGAAGCAAAAATGAAAGACAATTTTTAAAAATTGATTCTTATATGACGACCTTTATCGTCAACCAGTAAAAATCAACAAATCAGTCCATTTTAATTATTTTTTTGTGGTAAAATTTCATAAAACCAAAATTCCGCGAAATAATGTTATCGTATTTGCATGTCAACGAAACAAGGTGACGTCATATGTTTGTTTCCGTAAACAAAAAAATCAAATGTAAACATGGGCGTTTTAAAACTTCTTGTACGACTCAGAATGCAATAAACTAACATTAGAAGAATATACACGTATATAGGTGAAAAATGCTATTTAAAAAAATATTATTGAATAATATAATATTACAAATATTATCATATGGAGGTAAAACGGAACAACCAAAACAGTATCGTGTGTATAGGGCTTTCACTGTTAACAAATTACCGAATTTGGCCTATTAGAATCGAAATAATTCATGGCAGCCGTAGATTTGTTTTCATTCAACCATGGGTTGGGCATTTATATTCGATTATTTTACCCTGAGCGTTAGCATGGCTGACACGAATTATTACTTAAATATAGCACAATAACAAATTGGCGGGATGAATCAGTACCAAGCCAAGGCCATACTTTGTAAATAATCAAAACAGATCAATACACTTATTGTTACATGAGAAAAAACTATAACGCTTTGTCATCTTGCTATTGTTTGACTGCTGTAACTGAATTAAATCAAAAAGTAAATTTAAACCCATATGATCTCTAAAGGAATTGTTAAATTTATTAAATAGTTAAGGATGTTCAAATCTTACCTTTCTTTATACAGATAACGTGGCAAAATAAAAACAGCAAATCGTGTAAGAAACAGAAGTAAGTTTTTTCTTGATTATTTACCAGTTCGATATATTCACACCTGCGTTTGTCGTTTCCTTTTATACTTTCGAATCGATTATCTGTTCGGAAATTTTCAATTCTATTTGTATCCATGATAGAAACTATGATTTTTGTCACGTAAAGTATACATGACTATGCGGTATTGTCTTTGTTTATTGTTGAAGGTTACCTAAAATTGTTAATTTATGTGTCATTTGGTGTCTTGGGGAGCGTTGTCTCATTGGAAATCATACCAACCTTCTGTTTATGTTGTATACTAACTATGACTTGCTTTCATAATACCTGGTTTAATTATCGAAAACTGAATACAAACGTTGTCATAATTGCCTAATTCATATTTTCATACACGTGTTTAACAAGCAAATGCAAAGCCAGGCAGTCGTTTGATTTAATCAGATCCTTTGTTGGAAATAAATGAACCAAACCTGGTAACATTCTTAAGCTAATCATATATTTCCAAATCTAAATATAGAATTAAAAAAGTACGTAATTATTTGACATAGAACAATAAAGGTAGTAGCTGAGCTTTTATTTAAAATTCAAAATTCGGGTTTCAATGCAGATTATTGCAATTTTAAACATGTACTAGTTAATTGATAAGATCCCATTAGCTGTAAGTACGAATAGGGTAATACAAATGTATGATATCTCCCACACTACATTGCGCTAGATTCGTAAATTTGCATTCTAAATTTTATGTGGATTTTTGATTTACCGTTTTTTTCACATATTCTTTGATTAATACGGAAAGAGTCAAACTTTTTGAAATAAAATGAAAATGTATTTTATACAATTTTGCTGACAACTAGGTTTTTGTAAACTTATACAGTATGGTGGTTACTTAAACTTAACGTTAAAAATTCTTATTGTAAGTACTTATTAATAAACTTATTACTTAAAATGTATGATACTGGAACATAATTGATTCATAGTGAAGCGCACTTTAAAGCTCCTGAATATGTTTGCCAAAGATTTCTGCATGTGCAATTATCTGAATATATGAGTTTGATCTTCGTCGTACAATTAAAGGTACAACGCATCAACCAGGTTCAGTTCAAATCTGCTCAAATTACTGATGAAGCTTTATTTGGAAATCTTTACACGTAGTCATACATAAGAGCTGAAGTATAACCGAAAAATAGTATATGCTGAGATATACAATTCTGTTCGCTTTTTCCTGAATTTGTTTTGCTGTTGTTCAGTCCTGGGTAGCCTCGCACTGAAATACTGAATGCAAACATATAGTGCCAAACACTTTAACCACAAACATAGGACATCTGATTTCTAAACAACTGTTCTCCGGAAAGCAAGAAAATTATTGTCCAAACCAATTATTTGAATGTCATTCCGACCATTTCCTGCACGGTTTAATATTGTAAACTATTTTGCTTTTTTTGTTTTGAATGAACTTTGTTTGTGTTAGCCTTTGGTCCAAATAATCAAAGCGGGTTTTAAAAGCAAACACAATTGAATAATATTCTGACGTTATCGTAGTGTTAGATCTAGTTCATTAATAAAGGGGGAAATAATGATGACTAAAAACTTTTCAATTTCCATGTCTGAAGTTAGGACTTTCGTAAACGGTTTTATTTGTCATTTTATCATATGTATATCGAAGGGGACAGTTAATATGATTTGCTGTTGATTGAAAGAAAATTGGTAATGCGAATATATTATCATGTTAAATAGCGTGAAATATCGAATTATTTGGGACAAGTTTCCATATGTATGATAAATGAGGTTGTGCTTATTATTCTTTTGTTCCCTGTTACATCTCCCTTACAGATGGGTTCTAACATAAGGTATAACATGCATATATATATACACATGAAACGATATAAACAGCAAACACTCCTTTTGAAAGTATTTTAATTGTACCAAACAACATTCAAGAGTAGCAACAAAGTTTATATGTCAAGGATAAGAAGCGTCACAATGTTAATTATATTGGAAATTTAAACAGTTGAAAATAGATATTGGGAATTCCAATTGATAATGGGACCGAGGTCTATGTCTATATGTAGGTCTTCAATGCGCCTCAACTTCGTACTTTATATTTCCTTTTTAATTTCTTTTATTTCGAGCTTCACTGATGAGTCTTATGTAAACGAAGTGCACGTCTTGTTCATACAAATGTAATCCTGATATATGCGATGAGTGTATTTCTTTACTTTTTATCTCAGATTTTTATATTCATAACCTTTTGTTTATTGTCTATCAACAACACAAAAATTAACCAGACTCTCAAGTGTAAAAAGAAAATAAGTGTGTTAAATCGTGTAACTAGTCTAGAACGACTGACGACAACATACAAAAGCCGGAAAAAAAATAATAAGATAAATGCATAACAATTTATCGTTACTTATTACGCATATTTGACTATTTACTACTATGCCTGTAACGATTAATCATTCAACATTCTCTCATATACTTTCCTCTTAAAGTGAAGAACTGATAAATCAATACTGCAAATGCGTGTTACTGAAATTAGTAAGTTTTATTTTCTACTACATGTAACAATGTAATCTAACTGGAAATTCTCATACACTATATGCTATTGAAAATCCATGACAAAACACGTACAGCTACCTGCAGTTTTATGTTGCTCCGCGATTTGTTTTATCGATCTTTTAAAAACTAATTGATTTACTTGTTTGCCATATTTGTTTCGTATATTATATAATACGACCAAGTTTAACTTGGTTTTCTTACATATGTCATTCTCAGACAAAATAATCTATTCTGATTTTTCATAGTTCATAGTTATTATCCTTATATTGTGTTTTACAGTTTATGGCTGCCGAAAGTGTATTGATCATAGCTGGTTTTTCAATTACAATATATTTTTGTTGGAAGTATCTGATCATAAATATTCTAAAAGACACAACAATAAACTATAATATGGTTTTAACATAGTAAGTTTGTGCTCTTCTTATTGTTGTTTATGAGCAGATGTGATTAGAATCTTTTTTATTCTAATTGATGTATATACAATGGAGTCTCGAAAAAAGAAAAAAAAAAACACGTAATAAATTCCATGCGTCCATATCAGTTTGCTGGATTTAACCTTCATTAGGAACACCAAAAGACCAATATTTGATTGCCAAGGATGAATAACAACCGAGGCCTATATGATCAAAACAAAACTGAACAAAATAACCAAATCCATCACAGGTCAACTTTGTTCATTATTTGGGTAATAAATCATGCAGTTGTTTATCTCGTTTGAATTGATTTGTATTTATCCTTTCGTTACTTTTTATTAATGACTATGCGTTTTGATCACTGTTGAAGGCATTACGGTTACCTATAGTTGTACACTTCTATGTTATTTGCTCTCCGGTGGAAATATGTCTCATTGGCCATCATAACACATCTTCTTATTCTTATTTTATATTAAACTTGTATCTGCCTATTTCTTTCTTATAGCTGGTAAAACATTATTTGTTTTATATAAATCTGTAATGTTTTTATATCTTTTGTGTCGGCCACAAATAATGAGAAATTTATCATTTAACTAAAAGTTCATTGGTTGTGTTTTGCAGGTTTATAGAACAGCCACCGACTCTTCTGAGATCAGTTTGAAAAAAGCTGATTCCAAACATGCAACGAACAGTGCACATACATGACAAAGTATGTTCTTCTTAAAGAATAGTGGATAAAAAACAACATTACATTCAAGTACATTTTATAAGTGGTTGGTATTTCTATTGGGATAGCTTGCTCTCCGTTCATAACAGATTCGGTGTGAACCAAAGATCCGTGTTGAAGACCGTACTTTGACCTATAATGGTTTACTTTTATAAATTTTGACTTGGATAGAGAGTTGTCTAATTGGCACTCATACCACATCTTCTTATATCTATTGTGTCTTCATTCTTATGAATAACAGAACTATTGTATGTCACAAATTCTCATATAATTGATCAAATCGAACATTTACCATTTCCATGATGATATTTATATATAATAATAAATAATTCCCTAAATATAGTGCTGACATTTACCCAAGAAAATAACCTTCATTAAATCTAAAAAAAAGAATTTTAAACGTCCCTTCCTACATTAAGATATATCAGTTACATACAAAAACTATAAACACATATTTACGAGAAATGGTGTTATTTTTCATACTTCAATATTTACCCTTGTGTGTCGTGACGTTATAAATTTCAACGAACGCAAATGCAATCTATGTATAATTAGTCAGTTGTAAGTCAGGGATTAATTCTTTTTCACAAATAACTTAAGGATGTTCTTAAGTGAAATTAAAAAAAATGAAGAATATTAAATCGAAACTATAAGTCAGAAGAACATTGGTTAAGGAACAGAATAAGCTAAAAATATTGATAGGGTCTGGAGCTTCTTTTCAAGATATTTATATTTTTTCTAAATGACGGAAAACGGCTGACTCGGACTTTTACCTTATATTTGCATTATTATTATCTGGGTCTCAAACCAAAAGAAAAAAATCTAGAATTTGCATCAGGTTTGGTAAATGACCTTTTATGAGCTATATAAGTCTTATTTGAAAATAAAAATGGATGTTATGAAACAAAATGTTTCCCCTGTATCGTAGGAAAAATACCTAGGATTCAGAGCATTTGACAAAAATTCCTAATCCTCACCTAAGTATATCCTTTAAACATTTACTAAATTTGTTTGAAAGTTTCGCTGTAGAATTTTACGGTAATGTTATTTATAGAGCAATCAATTTAGATATTATCCAGGTAATCTTATAAATCCTTCGAATAAATCTGTTCTAAAAGGCTATTAATTGTATGATGAAATCTTTAAATATTGTTTTTGATATGCATATATTGCTATACATCCTGTTGAAACGTTCGTTTTGGCATTGCACAAGGTTTTGTTTTTCTCACACTGTTTATAACGTCTTTAAATTACACATTTGGATGATCACTGATACTTTCTCTTTCCAAATGGCTATGAACTAATCTATTCCAACAAGGGATTTTTTGCACATCACTGAATTATGTAAGATTTGTTCAAATGTGTTATAGTATATATATATATATATATATATATATATAGAAGTCTATAAAAAGGACCAACCAGCAAATTTACTATGTACCGGATCGTCTAGAATAGACGATACTGTGTAGATAAGGAAAAAAATTATATAAGTCTAGAGATTTGCACAACGATACTAATATAAGATGGTATTATACAAAGATGTTGTTAATAAATCGTGTTGACAAATATTTCGGCTTAACAAATAGCCTTCTTCGGTGTCAATTATTTTAACAATACTGATAATATATTGTTAAAATAATTGACACCGAAGAAGGCTATTTGTTATACCATCTTATATTAGTATCGTTGTGCAAATCTCTAGACTTATATATATATATATATATATATACGTGTACCTTTTATGTTTATGGATGTCTTTACATTTACCAACCACATTTACTTTCTTCTTGTTGGTTTCTTTTTCTTTTACTGTTGATATAAAATAAATAAAAGGGATGACGACAAAGACGACCATCCTCCTCATCACCACTGCCAAAGTAATTCAGACTGAATTGATTGATACCGAATTACATAATGTGCTATTTTAAAATGAGTTCCTTGCATTCATTTGTCATTTGTCATTTTCGCAATAAAGTTGAAAATCGTACGGAAGTGCGATAGTCATTTGTATCTACTATGCTTTACATTGACTTTCTTAGATTACTTCAGCATGTTCTGTCGTCATAAAGAGTTGTTGTGAATATATCACAGCATTAATTTGATGTCACTTGAGCCTTTGTTAATCTTGTGTGTGTGTTTTTTCTTTTTTTAGTTTTAGATCATTTTTATGTTTCACAGTTTAGTTTTTGCTGAATTAGTGTACATTATTGTTTATAGGCCAGCTGAGGCCAGCCTCCGGGTGCGGGATGTTTTTACTGCGTTGAGGGTCCATTTGGGGACTGGTTTGTTTTCTCCTACTAGTTCGGGTTGTTGTCTCTTTGACACATTCCCCGTTACCATTCACCATCACGCTTATATCAAAATGTACTCAGCATTGTTAAGGTGAACATCAGAAAGTATGTATATGTCTAATAAAGTTCGTGATTTCGTCATTTAATGGGCGTCAATTAAGCACAAGAATAAAAGCAGTGTATTTCTTTTTTTTGGGAATACCTAACTGAGATTAGGAAAAATCATAGGTCAAGTTGTCCCTTATCCAAACATGAGTGGAGTTTCAGATACGAAACTACAAAATACACATCAGTAGAACATTTGTATCGTTTCAAGCAAAATCTCATCTGAAGATGTTATAGTTTACCTCTATTCATTTTCTGAACGATGAAACCACCTGCGCAAAACATTAAACTGCAACCACAACAGCAAGCAATGTATACAAAGACATACAAATGTATATTCTGGTCTACAAAAAAAGCCTCATGTAAGCCTTATTTGCAAGAGGTTTTTTTTTCTTCAAAGGATTGAAGGAGCATTAGCTGTCATTTTCATGTTCACCGATTTGACTCAAATTCTCATATTTGATTTATAACATACTAAAACGTATATCTAATTTATAAAAAGTCTAAAATAAACAATTTACAATGCATGTGCTCGATAATATATATCAGCATTTCGTGGTTATTTTAGTCTAGACGTCAGATAATTAACCATCGATGTGGCCTCCAAAGTCTGACGGCAACCATAAGCAAAGAAATATCGCTGATGAATTATTCACTTGCAAGTGAATAATTCGATCTCATTGAATCCGTATTCATGTGACCTTCAATTTAACCCATTAGCTAATGATTGGTTGCGCATGTATGAGTCGTGTTCAGCAATTAAAAGGAAACGAATGTCAACATTGAAAGTTAACAAAAGGTCGTTGACTGATTCGATCCACAAATAATCCATCTTATACAGGTAAAAACGGTAATAAACTTATTGTTTTACCTATAACATGAAATCATACAGACCTAGAAAAATCCAATTGCACGAGTTCACTATTTATTTATATTTTTTTTATGTTTATATCGGTTTATGTGACCGTCGGCAATTTTCGGAGGTCATCTGGATAGTTGATTAGATGGCGTCTAGACTAAAACATGTAAGGCACACACGAAATTCTGATATATTCATCGAGTACATGCATAACTGTTTATTTTAGACTTTAGAAATTGGATATACGGTTAAGTATGTTATAAATCAAATATGAAAATTTTAATCAAATCAGTGAACATGAATTTGACAGCTAGTGTCCCTTTAAGCACAGTATGATATAAGATGTTATGAAATGCAATACTCAATTTACCAAAGGGTCTTTCTTTTTATTGAACAGCCTACATTTCTACCCTTCTAACATTCCTATTTTGCAATGTGTTGGGGTCATTTCTATTCTTTTCAATTACGAGTTTTTATTGCACTCTTATTTTGTTTGTTTTTTTGGTTTTTTTTTTTTTTTTTTTTGTCTCTTTTATCATTTTTTTTTTCTGAATCTGTTTCGCTAAGTAAATTTTATATCTTTTATAAGTATATATACTAAATAATAAGCTAGAGTTACCCACCCAAACAGGTATAAACAATAATCAAATATTTAAACAATAGTGGGATAAGATATATCATCAGGCACGATGAAAGTGTATAAAAAAAATATCGTTTGTAGTTATTGTTCAAATACAGCAGCACTGCTTAAAATGATGAAGTAAGATGTACAACAGTTACTTTTAGAGTATACAGACATTTTAAAAGACACACAGATACATAAAATCGAAGATGAACTTTTCACTTATTACGGGTGTCACCAATGGAGCAGAACTTACTGCCCTTCCGGGAAACGTGAATATGGATTTTGCTTTGGTTCGTTTCGGTTATTCGTTATTTTAGTGTTTAGTTATATGTAAAACATTGTTTGTGGTTTCGTCGATTTTTATTTTGCATAATGTGCTGTATGCGTTCGAATTATGGCAATTGCCACCTTACCGTCCCGTTTCCCTTTTTAGCATCATGACATATTGTTGGTTCTCTTTAAGATAAGCAATATCAATATGGAAACAGAGACAAGTCGGTCATCTCATGACTTACTTTTGACGTTGTTTTTTTCTTCGTTTAAGTTTGTTTTTACTTCAGCATTTAATATCTGGTCTGTTGTCTCTATAAAGGGAAGAAATGTAAAGCATAATTAGAAAAGAGTCTAAGAATTGAAAGAGACAATACTAAAGAAACATTCAAAACCAAAAGTAGTTAAAAATAACCACCACACAGTACACTGATGACTGAGCAACACGAGCCAACCATAAATTAAATGATTTCCGATCTGAACCGGAAGAGAAAGGAGATCCTGCTACACTATTGCCACCCGTAATCTAAACATGCAAACACTGTCTACAGAATTTTAATCAACAAAATTTCAATTAACCTGGGATTCAAACAAAACATTTCGAAAAAAAAAAAAAATAAATAAATACAAAATAAATGATGAATAAATGCAGGGCAAAAGAAAATGACTCAGGTTCACAAAAATAATGGAATAATTTTGAATTCATAGTCCTAATGGATCATATACTTTATGTTATTATCGAGAAGTGATAACTGCTCTGGTGTTATTCTTTGGGTCGGACAATCTATTATTAACTCAGTGGTGCATTGTATCAATATTAACGTGTGCTAATGATTTTGATGTAAAAACATTGACGCTCGGCATAAAATATAACACCAACACGTCGACTGAAAAAAATATGAACTTTGGATTATTATTTAGGTATTTCCTCGGGTGCTACATCAACTTTTAGTGATTTGAAGTACGTTGTTAGTTTGTTTGGTTTATTGGTATACTGTTATTCAACGGGTTTTTGTTTTAATAAATGTTTCAAACAATTAGAGAATATATAACTGTCTACCTGTCGATGAAGTATGAACTGTTGTTTGATTGTTCTGAACTGAAGTAGAAAAAAACCCACAGTAAAATGGTATAGGAATAAGCATAAATAAATGTACTTGACTAATTTTCTATAGCAATTGGTGTCTATATACATCTGAGGTAAGAGAAGGAACCTTATCTGGAAAAATGCGAAGAATACAGTTTTCTATAGCGCCAATCCTGCAACTAACTATGTATCCGATTTCCTAGGTTCACGTGACAAGTTGGTCATGTCTATCGAAATTATTTGTGTGGCATTTAATATATTCGGTGTTCATGGTCGATCATTAATAGTTTCTATAGTAACTTTGAAAACCTTTATAGACTTGGAGTATCTAGACACATTATAGATGTAATTTTATTAATCGAATATTTTCAAGGATTTGTGATTCGTTGATTACATGTACATTTGTATTTATTTTAGTTTGCACGCCAATATAGTTGTGTTTCTTTTCGTAATTCAAAAACAGCATATTGCACAAGACATACAGCATGATACTACAAATTCATTATAAAAGTCCCAAATTTTACATTGTTCATGCAATAGTCGTTGATTAAAAATATAACAATGCTATCACTTGGTTGAGGTCAATACGATGTTTTATTAAATGATATGAGCAAGTCAGCCCTAATACGGATAAATCAGCAAGAGAAATACTAATGACGTTGCCCTGTCGATATAAATCAATAGTTAATATTGCTTTTCTGACAGGGCTAATACGGGAAAAGCCGTATTGGCCCATGGGCTAATATGGAAAAAAGCCGTCATGGGCCAATATGGAAAATGCCGTATTGGCCCATGGGCTAATACGGGACGTTCACTTCCGGTTTCAATGTTCTTACACCTATAAAGCTTACTTAACTTTGGACGTATCGTTATGCATAAAATATATTTGTATCATATTTTTTAACTTAATATCATAAACAAAAGTTTAAATGATGTTCAGTGTTTTGGAACGTCTTGAAACGGAAATCTTTCACATCCTTATCGAGTACGACTTTCGATTATCATCACTATTTCATTTCCGTTGATCAATCATCAGAATGCAGACGATTCAAGAGAAATAATAGTTAAACTGTCTGATTTATTCTTCCCAGCTACTTTATATTTGCTAGATAAAATAAATTGTAATAGCATAAGACTAGGTACTTGGACGAGAAATCAGAAATTACATCGGACAATCTTGACAAAACATCCATGTTGACAAAACATCCAGCGTGAATGCGAAAAGACAATTTCAGATATGAATTTCTGTATCTTTTTAACGGTAAGTTTCTTAGTTTAATCGAAGAATTAAAATCATTTAATAAAAGTGTTATGAATTGGCTGTTTTTGTATTGGCCCTGTTATAGATTCTCGATCAGCTGTATTGGCCCTCGACTCTTCGAGTCTCGGGTCCAATACAGCTAACCTCGAATCTATAATAGGGCCAATACAGAAACAGCCAGTTAATTTCACTATATTAACGACCTAGAGAAGCATGTCGATCTCGGATTCAATCAAAATGCTTCTCTTGTGTCGATATAACATCGCATCGAACTCATACAAATGCTATAATTGTATAGTATGATGGACCGTGTTTTGACCTCTAGTATTTAGCTTGAAAACGCTCGTTGAATTCACAGTTTTGTTCTTTTGTTTATGTCTTGAGGAGGTACACCCCTTGTCTCTTTATATCCAGATCAAAATTTCTAGCTTTTTGGTAAAGCTATTATTTCATTGTTAGTGTGGTCGTAAACAAGTATTTGTGTATTATTCTGTTTGCTTGGACAGTGATGGGTATTATCAATATCATCCTAAGTAATAAAATTGATGTAAATGATTTTTTCACCAACCATTTGATTTTGATGAATGACTGCTGTTTGAACTGTTCTTTTCTCGAAATGGTTCACCTGCATAACATAAGCATAACACAAACATTTAAACATGTAATAGATTGTTCAAACGATGGATGTGATAGAGATTAGAGCTTGGCTAACAATAAGCTGTATGTCCTGACTTATAATAATTTGCAAATTAACTTATTAAAATCAATTTTACAACAATTTGAACATTTTTATACATACATTGTATCTGTTAGAGAGATACATGTCACTAAACTATTTTTGTTGTCACTTAAAATATGTGTGCTCTACAATTGCACAGATTGAAAACAACAATTCTTCTTTTTCTTTATCTTCCTCTGATGTATTGTTGGATTCATCTATAAATGGATGGTTTTATTTTTCATAATTATAGCTTAATTTATCATGTTTTGGTGAATTCGCATTTTTTATCAATCAAATGAAACACGAGTGTGTTGAAGTTATATTTTCATATATCATAGTTTTGTCATTTGTTTCATATTTATGTTGTCTGTAATGCTTATGATTTCGATTACAGAGATCAATACCTAATCCTGTGTGTTCCGTCATCAGGACGACTTCGAACAAAAAATAAAATGATCTAATTCAGTTTTTCTCCTTGGCAATCATACCTCATCTCTTTACATGTATTCGTTTTATTTTCATAATATTAGTACTAAAATATCAATACAATTACATAGAACTATACTTGTCTTAGGGAGGGATAAATCCTACTTTGTAAAAAAATCACTCTGATTCAAACAAAAAATTCTCTGACTCTGACATTATCACGATGCTTGATTTCTTGATTGACAACATATTTTTACGTTTCGAGGTCGTGTTTTTCAACAAACAATCGGCATTCCCTTGGGAACCAAATGTGCCCCTCTTCTTGCCGACTTGTTCCTTTATTCTCATGAGACCGACTTCATACAGGAACTTCTTAGGAAGGAAGAAAAGAAGTTAGCAGTATCCTTTAACCTTACTTTCCGCTATATAGATGATGTTCTTTCACTAAATGATTCAAAATTTGTTGAATATGTTGAACGCATCTATCCCATCGAACTTCATATTAAGGATACAACAGATACAGTTAAGTCTGCCTCATATCTTGACTTACATCTAGAATGACAATGAGGGTCGGTTGAAAACAAAACTTTACGACAAAAGAGATGATTTTAGCTTCCCAATTATGAACTTTCCATTCCTATATAGCAACATTCCAGAAGCGTCTGCATACGGAATATATATCTCCCAATTAATACGATATCCCCGGTTTTGTATTTCCTATCATGATTTCCTTGATAAAGGGTTGCTGCTCACAAGGAAGCTATTAAACCAAAAGTTCCAAATCATCCCTTCGTAAATTTTACGGACGCCATCACGAGTTGGTTGACCGTTATGAAATATACGTTTCACAGATGATAGCGGATATGTTCCTAATGTCGAATTTTACAATCCCGTGCCCTTCTCAGAATACTTGTTACCGGGCTTGAACTTACATGAGCAACACGACGGGTGCCACATGTGGAGCAGGATATGCTTACCCTTCCGGAGCACCTGAGATCACCCACAGTTTTTGGTGGGATTCGTGTTGCTTAGTATTTAGTTTGATTATGTTGTGTTTTGTGTACTTTTGTTTGTCTGTTTGTCTTTTTATTTTTAAGCCATGACGTCAGTTTGTTTTCGACTAATGAGTTTGAATGTCCCTCTGGTATCTTTCGCCACTATTTTAATGAATAGATCAGATTTGGAGTCTACGTTTATTGCTCTGAATTTTCCTACTGTTTTAAATGTGATTAAACACCTCATTACATAGACATGGAAAGTGGTGATTCCTTTTCGCATAAGTTGCAAAAAGAACATACTAGATACCATTTCAGATCGGTAAATACACTTTATATGGAAAGTATTAAACTTAAACCCGTGCACACTAACATAATGGGATTAACAGGAAACATGTTTGCGGAAAATAACGGCCTTCAATTTGTCGGTCAGTCAAACCTTATACTTGGGTTTGAAAAAAAGCTTTTAATGTCGTGCATTATTTCGATATGAAACAGATCATAGAGATTCGTGTTGTTAAATAATATGTTTGATACTTACTTTCCAGTGTCACCGTGTATTTTCCATTATTCATAGGAGGAACAGGTAGACACGTATATATCCCTTCGTCATGAATACTTGTATTCTTAATTCGAAGATTTATTTTTTCTGTTATTTCGTATCTTAATGAATTGTTACTCATTTCATTTAGTTTGTCTCCAGTCCAAATAACTTTTGTTTCAAAAAACCAAGAGATCGTATGATTAGAAGTAATATTAACATTACATTCTAAAATAACATCTTCTCCAGGGATGTATTTCTTAATTTTGGTAACAGTCATGTTTACTGAAAGTAAAGGAGAAGAAAATTAATAAAAGCGCACTGTTTCAATAATTTGGTGTTGTCCATTGTCATATAGGTGTATGTCCTATTAGACTACTTTCGAGTTTGTTGCATTTCCCGTCAAAAACTTTGGTTTTAGTGAACATCATTCGTGAGTTTAGGTGATTCGTCACTTTCTTCCCATGTTGAGAGAGCGATTGAAAAAATATGCTGCTATATTGCACGAATTATTCGGCAAACTAAATCCTTACTAGAAAAAAAGACTACTTGAAATGTTTATGGTGATACACAGCTTGGGTTCGTGTGACACATGTGCTCCGAGAAAGGCGGAATTCACTAAAGGAAGGAGAAAACAATCTAATGATTAAACATATTTCCTCGAGTTTGTTATATTTCTTTTCTTTTTTTTTCTTTTTTTTTTTTGAATTGTGCGAGTTTGATAAAGTGATGCAAAACCATTTCCGCCTGCTTACAAAGCGTAGACGGTAAGGAACCAGCTACGGAACTTTATTTGGGGTTTAATTAATTAAGCTACGCTAATTAAAGCAATTACTATAATGAAGTTATACAGTACATTACATACACTAACTATTTATTATTATATAATACTTCAGACGATCGTCGACTCGGAGACAAACTGGCCAAAAAAAAAAATTGTGTCTCCAAATTTAATAGTATATAGATTGTTCGAGTTTGTTATATCTATTTTTTTCTTTTTTTGAGTGGTGCGAGTTTGATAAAGTGATGCAAGTTGTAATAATTAGTGAGAGTGTTTGAGTTGGGCGAGTTGGTCGTGGGCTGAGTTGTCATAAATTCAAGACAAATTTAATACAAATCGATTTCCGCCTGCTTACAAAGCGTAGACGTTAAGGAACCAGCTACGGAACTTTATTTGGGGTTTAATTAATTAAGCTACGCTAATTAAAGCAATTACTATATGAAGTTATAAAGTACATTACATACACTAACTATTTATTATTATATATTACTTCAGACGATCGTCGACTCGGAGACAAACCGGCTAAAAAAATATGTGTCTCCAAATTTAATAGTATATAGATTGTTCGAGTTTGTTATATCTATTTTTTTCTTTTTTTGAGTGGTGCGGGTTTGATAAAGTGATGCACGTTGTAATAATTAGTGAGAGTGTTTGAGCTGGGCGAGTTGGCCGTGGGCCGAGCTGTCATAAATTCAAGACAAATTGAATACAAAACCATTTCCGCCTGCTTACAAAACGTAGACGGTAAGGAACCACCTACGAAACTTGATTTGAGGTTTAATTAATGAGGCAACGCTAATTAAAGCTATTACTATATGAAGTTATAAAGTACATTACATACACTAACTATTTATTATCAAATAATACTTCAGACGATTGTCGGCTCGGAGACAAACCGGCTGAAAAATTTTGGTCTCCAAATTTAATAGTATAGATACTTGATAATCAACACTGCTGTCATTAGGGAATTGTGATTAAGTACCTACGGAGGAAACATTATTTCTAGTTTATCCTGCATAATGACGATCGTGTAGACGCATGATCAACTTTAATAGAGTAGGGATACTTGCTGTCCCCTCTGTCTGGTAATTGAAGTCATAAGGCGTGAATAATTCACGAACTTTTCCGGTGAAGGACATAACTCGAAAGTTGATTATTAGCTGTAATGAAATGCATTACGAAGATATATAGTTGTCCATATCCATCTTACTTTTTCTTATTGAATTGTTGTCTCATTAGCAAAAATACATAATGAACCAAATTGCCTAATATGTATATGCTAGTTTCATCCATCACTAAAATTTGTTCATGTGCAGGTGGGACCAGTTCCAATAATATTAGCAGTAGTGGCAGTCGAAGCGATAATAATAGAAGCAGTAGTAGTAGAAGTAGTACATTATGGAGTCACCCTATGGTCACTTTTAAATTGCAATTATGATGAATTGCACATATAAGTTGAAGTAGTAGTAGTAGTAGTTGTAGAGCTATAGAAATAGTAGAAGTGGTATTAGTACCAACAGTAGCAGTAGGAGTAGCACCAATAGACATTTTCGAAAAGTCGTGTACATTGAATTTTTGAATATTTAGGCTTTTCTACCTCAGGAATAGATTACCTTAGCTGTATTTGGCAAAACTTTTTGGAATTTTTGATCTTCACTGCCCTTCAACTTTGTACTTTTTTTGGCCTTTTTAATTTTTTTGATTCGAGCGTCACTGATGAGTCTTTTGTAGACGAAACGCGTGTCTGGCGCAAAAACAAAACTTCAATCCTGGTATCTATGATGAGTTTAATTATACACAGACACTTACAAAAACACTGATAACTACACAGAGTAAAAATATGGATGGACAGTAACAAAATGCAGAAACATGCGGAATGAATGACCTCGTAAACCTCGGTTGCAGAGATGAAAAAATATTTTCTGTATTTTTTTCTTATATGATTTTTATTTGGAATCGGACCTAATAACCATGGCACGTACAAAGAATGCTCTCATCAGTTTTGAATAATTTTAACTAATGGATTTGTTAGATTCCATCCATTTCTTGTAATTGTCTCCATTTGCAACCAATCGAACAGAATACAGAACTGCGGTATAATATACATTTGGCGATTTGAATTTTTGGAAACGCTGTGGAGATATCCAATGAACAAATTATCTGTGGCAGCCATTAGTGATATGTATACATTTCAAAATAAAAATGATTGCAGTGTAAAATTCCACATAAAACTATAAATGCAAAAGGTAACAGAATATTTAGAGGTTGTGAGATAAAATTTGAAATAGTATAATTACACACTATATAGTAGTGGTTAAACTCACCATCGAAGAATTAAAATTATTACAAAGTTATGGGTTATAAATCTAATAGTAGTATATCAGTACTAGGAGTAGTATTAGTATTAGTATTAGTATTAGTATTAGTAGTAGTATTAGTAGTAGTAGTAGTAGTAGTAGTAGTAGTAGTAGTAATAGTAGTAGTAGTAGTAGTAGTAGTAGTAGTAGTAGTAGTGGTAGTAGAAGTAGTAGTAGTAGTAGTAGTAGTAGTAGTAGTAGTAGTAGTAGTAGTAGTAGTAGTAGTAGTAGTAGTAGTAGTAGTAGTAGTAGTAGTAGAAGTAGTGGTAGTGGTAGTAGTAGTAGTAGTAGTAGTAGTAGTAGTAGTAGTGGTAGTAGTAGTAGTAGTAGTAGTAGTAGTAGTAGTAGTAGTAGTACCAGTAGTAGTAGTAGTAGTACCAGTAGTAGTAGTAGTAGTAGTAGTAGTAGTAGTAGTAGTAGTAGTAGTAGTAGTAGTAGTAGTAGTAGTAGTAGTAGTAGTAGTAGTAGTAGTAGTAGTAGTAGTAGTAGTAGTAGTAGTAGTAGTAGTAGTAGTAGTAGTAGTAGTAGTAGTAGTAGTAGTAGTAGTAGTAGTAGTAGTAGTAGTGGTAGTAGTAGTAGTAGTAGTGGTAGTAGTAGTAGTAGTAGTAGTAGGTTGTGAGATAAAATTTGAAATAGTATAATTACACACTATATAGTAGTGGTTAAACTCACCATCGAAGAATTAAAATTATTACAAAGTTATGGGTTATAAATCTAATAGTAGTATATCAGTACTAGGAGAAGTATTAGTATTAGTATTAGTATTAGTAGTAGTAGTAGTAGTAGTAGTAGTAGTAGTAGTAGTAGTAGTGGTAGTAGTAGTGGTAGTAGTAGAAGGTGGTAGTGGTAGTAGTAGTAGTAGTAGTAGTAGTAGTAGTAGTAGTAGTAGTAGTAGTAGTAGTAGTAGTAGTAGTAGTAGTAGTAGTAGTAGTAGTAGTACCAGTAGTAGTAGTAGTAGTAGTAGTAGTAGTAGTAGAAGTAGTGGTAGTGGTAGTAGTAGTTGTAGTAGTAGTAGTGGTAGTAGTAGTAGTATTAGTAGTAGTAGTAGTAGTGGTAGTAGTAGTAGTAGTAGTAGTAGTAGTAGTAGTAGTAGTAGTGGTAGTAGTAGTAGTAGTAGTCATTCGTTGTCCAAATGTATATAAAACAAACTGTCTACTTTTAGAATGCTGAAACCAAAATGTTTTTACATAAGGGTGCAATGTGTTGTCATTTGTTTTTTTAAATTATTTGTTGTGGTGTTGGTGATGGTGGTGTAGTAGTGGTGGTAGTGGTAGTGGTAGTGGTAGTGGTAGTGGTGTTGGTGGTGGTGTAGTTGTGGTGGTAGTGGTAGTGGTGTTGGTGGTGGTGTAGTTGTGGTGGTAGTGGTAGTGGTGTTGGTGGTGGTGTAGTTGTGGTGGTAGTGGTAGTGGTGTTGGTGGTGGTAGTGGTAGTGGTAGTGGTGTTGGTGGTGGTGTAGTAGTGGTGGTGGTAGTGGTAGTGGTGTTGTTGGTGGTAGTAGTAGTGGTGGTAGTGGTAGTGGTGTTGGTGGTGGTGGTAGTAGTAGTGGTGGTAGTGGTAGTGGTGTTGGTGGTGGTGTAGTAGTAGTGGTTGTAGTAGTAGTGGTGGTAGTGGTAGTGGTGTTGGTGGTGGTGGTAGTAGTAGTGGTGGTAGTGGTGTTGGTGGTGGTGGTAGTAGTAGTGGTGGTAGTGGTGTTGGTGGTGGTGTAGTAGTAGTGGTGGTAGTGGTGTTGGTGGTGGTGGTAGTAGTAGTGGTGGTAGTGGTAGTGGTGTTGGTGGTGGTGTAGTAGTAGTGGTTGTAGTAGTAGTGGTGGTAGTGGTAGTGGTGTTGGTGGTGGTGGTAGTAGTAGTGGTGGTAGTGGTGTTGGTGGTGGTGGTAGTAGTAGTGGTGGTAGTGGTGTTGGTGGTGGTGTAGTAGTAGTGGTGGTAGTGGTGGTAGTGGTGTTGGTGGTAGTGGTAGTACTGTTGGTTGTGGTTTTGGTGGTAGTAGTAGACGTAGTGGTGTTAGTGATGGTGATGATGATGGAAGTAGTGGTGGTAGTGGTAGTAGTAGTAGTGGTGATGTTGGTGGTGGTAGAGTAGTAGTAGTAGTGGTGTTGGTAGTAGAAGTAGTAGTAGTAGTGGTGGTGGTGGTGGTGGTGGTAGTAGTAGACGTAGTGGTGGTAGTGATGGTGATGATGGTTGAAGTAGTGGTGATGTTGGTGGTAGTAGTAGTAGTAGTAGTAGTAGTAGTAGTAGTAGTAGTAGAGTAGTAGTGGTAGTAGTAGTAGGAGTGGTGGTGTTGGTGATGGTAGTAGTAGTAGTAGTAGTAGTAGTAGTAGTAGTAGTAGTAGTAGTAGTAGTAGTAGTAGTAGTAGTAGTAGTAGTAGTAGTAGTAGTAGTAGTAGTAGTAGTAGTAGTAGTAGTAGTAGTAGTAGTAGTAGTAGTAGTAGTAGTAGTAGTAGTAGTAGTAGTAGTAGTAGTAGTAGTAGTAGTAGTAGTAGTAGTAGTAGTAGTAGTAGTAGTAGTAGTAGTAGTAGTAGTAGTAGTAGTAGTAGTAGTAGTAGTAGTAGTAGTAGTAGTAGTAGTAGTAGTAGTAGTAGTAGTAGTAGTAGTAGTAGTAGTAGTAGTAGTAGTAGTAGTAGTAGTAGTAGTAGTAGTAGTAGTAGTAGTAGTAGTAGTAGTAGTAGTAGTAGTAGTAGTAGTAGTAGTAGTAGTAGTAGTAGTAGTAGTAGTAGTAGTAGTAGTAGTAGTAGTAGTAGTAGTAGTAGTAGTAGTAGTAGTAGTAGTAGTAGTAGTAGTAGTAGTAGTAGTGGTAGTAGTAGTGGTAGTAGTAGTGGTAGTAGTAGTAGTAGTAGTAGTAGTAGTAGTAGTAGCAGTAGGTATGTATTTGTAGTAGTAGTAGTAGTAAGTAGTAGTACAAATGTAGTAGAAGTAGTATTGATAGAAGTAGTATTAGTGGTAGTAATAACAGTAGTAGATGAAGTTGTATTAATAATAGTAGTAGTAGTAGTACAAATGTAGTAGTAGTAGTGGTAGAAGAAGAAGAAGAAGAAGAAGAAGAAGAAGAAGAAGAAGAAGAAGAAGAAGAAGAAGAAGAAGCAGCAGTAGTAGAAGTTATAGTAGTACAGATACAGACTATCATTGTTTCAAATAAGAACTACGAATAAAAGGTGAGAGGGATACACATAGAAAAACCATAAAAAAGATAAAACAAAAACGTAAACAGTATCCTACGGACTGAAAAAGGCGATTGGTTGTAATATGATTTGATTGTTGATATGTATTATGACTCTTCTATATACCAAAAAGGATGGTGGATCGGTTCATCTACCATACATACTTGAACGACAATCTGTTAATAATTATTTCTATAATTCCGCTACATTTCATCCGGTTGTGACACGTATAATTTCCTGTCATACCAATTCTCAACTATGACCCTGGCATTGTCTATTCAATCATCAGAGAAATAGATTATCACATTTTACCCCCGTTGAATGTTCATCAACTCTCAATTGTTGGTTTCTTTTCAAAACGCTCGGTATTTAAAACCTGATATCTAAAAGTTAGAAAATGTCTACTGACCAAGCATCGAAATTGAAGAATGACGCGGAAAAATATGTATACTAAATTGAATATTTCAAGCTTTTGATAAATTTATAATATATGTATATAGTTCGTCCTGAGTCAAATTCTTAACCTCTATATGAGACGACTTGACAAAAATGCATTGAAAAAGATCAAATATTAATTCTTTTTCTCATTATTTATATAGTTTATAAACCTTTCTATAGTGCCTAACAAGAGTTTGTGAGGTAGACAAATTTGACCTTAAAACGATCGTATTGAATTTTGATGTCCAAAAATAGGCAATTTGGACTTATTTTGAATTTATTTATTGACTACTTTTGTTTGGGATTAATTGTAATTATAACATTATAATGATACTTAAAAATATTTTTTGTTTGTTTGTTAAGATAAACAATAGTTTTACCTGGCGTAGCAGTGTAAAATGTATTTTGGCATTTCTCTTCAAAAAATCACTTGTTTAATGAAATTAAACGTCTGATTTGTAAATTTTCTCTTTTTTCTCTGGAATAGGCTGTTAATAAATAATTTATCTACTCTAGGTTGCATTATTTTGGGGAGATATATAATATTCATAGATATTTTGTTTACGTACTGGTTCCCAGATATGATCTCTATGTTTCATCTCATAGAGACATAACTTGGGAATGTTACCAGTATAAAAACACATGATAGAGGCGAACATTGAATTCTGAGGAAGACCAAAAGTGAAGGAAGGGGTAGTACAGAATTTTAGTATCAGTTTAAACCCTTAGAAGTTCGGGGCATATAAATGTTGAAAATATGTGGCACAGCCCTATATTTTGACCTTTGAATAAATTAGTAGTGCATATATATCAACTTTCCATTCTAGGATATAATTTGTTTACGAAACTTCATTGTAAAAGTGGCACAGTTTTAGCCGTCAAGGGAGTTCCTATGGGAAAATGGATTTTCTATATTTACAGAAGTGCAACCTATATTGGGTAAAAAAAGAGAACATATAGAATTACACCAAATCTGGTTTATTTCAGAGATTTTAATGAAATTAACTCAAATATAAAGTTTTATAAATATTTTATGAAGATTGAGAAAATCCTGGGCATTAACTATGATGACTCAGCATAATTTCACAGTTTACAGTATGCATAGTTTACTTAAAGCCCTGAATGCAAAGTAAATTCATAATATATGCATATTTGTAATTTAAATTGTTTATAAGTGCTTTTATTTACTCTTCGCAGTCATTGAAACTCATAGATCCTTGATGAATATTGTTGTTGGGTGTGTGTTTGTCCTGTCGATAACCCAAAAGTAAGCCGTAACACCTACATGTGCTTTTTTGTGACCGCGGCATAAACAAATACAAGCTAGAAATACAAAAATACCTCAATAAAACAAACAATAGTGTGTTTTATCCTAAATATGAACTAAATATTCCATATTCACAGAAACAGTTATTTAGCAAATTTGAGGCCCAAGTGGCATAAAACAGAGAAAAATGCCTACCCCCTGGGTCATAAAACAGATAATGTAACCTGTAAATGCTATGATTTTATTATTATAAAGGTCTTTTGTATAGAAAACAAAAAATGTGCTTTGAAGTTATGCAAAAAACAGACGTAAGCAGTCAGTTCTATAAAATTTTAGTGAATTCATACATCAGACTGGTAACTTCATAATACAACTTTTGCAAATATAGCTTTGTTTAAACACTTCTAGTTCATATATTAGCTAAATTATGTTAGATATATGATTAGAGATGATATTGGTGTGACAAGATTTCTAAACTGACCATTTGCGGCAGAAATTGTGAACTTTTATTGATAAATAGGCATAGAGTAAGATCTTGACCGGAGACAGAAGCAGGATTGGATACTTTATATAATCTTGAATGTTGGAATAATTAACTTCTAAACTTTACATTTGTTTTACTCTGAAAGGCTTTCAATTTGGTATCAGAATAGTTTCAAATAGATTCAAGACATTTCATGTCAGAAAACATGCACATAGGGTAAGCTGACAATAATTAAAGTCTTATTTTCAAGTTCTTTAAAAACTGAAACAGGGATGAGGGTGTAAATAAAATGAACTGTAAAAGAAAAGTTAGAGTATATACAGTGATTTCTTGAAGGCTATGGTTCTGATAAATAAATTGGGTAGGGAGAAAATTACAGATATTTTAAGTTCATTTTTTTGTAATAACGAATTAATATTTGTCAACCAAATTTTTTTCTATAATTTCAAAAACATGTCGTTCTGTATTAGTATAGTTTTCGAATCTTTCATTTCCGTATTTAAGGCAATAGAAAATTTGGGCTTCACAAGTCTACATAATTATTAACTTTATACAGAAAATCTCCCTTTCAAAACATCTAATGTTTCACAAATAATACATGGATACAAAGCAAAATCATTTTTAAAAACACTGCATCAAATTTCGTTCTGATTGGTTTAGTGGTATTGTCATAAAGTGCGTTGAAATGAACCGTGGTATAGCAAACATCGAATTCCCTAACAAAATGTTATCACACACTATAGCACAGAACAAATACTTATTGATACATACCTTTACATAACGATAGAATTATGATTACATAACTGGTTACAAGCATCTCTTTTATAGTCAGGATATGTTGATCTTCTTACAAAAAGAAAAGTACATAGAAAATAAGGAAAATCAATATACCTTTACTGTCAGTGCTGATTATTTTTTTCATTTTTTTTTAATGATAAAATTATGATTACATAACTGGTTCCAAGCATCTCTTTTATAGTCAGGATATGTTGATCTTCTTACAAAAAGAAAAGTACAGTGATAAAAGAAAAAATCACGATACCTTTAATGTCAGTGCAGGTCATTGTATTTTTCCCCAATTTGTAAAAACAATTAATTTAGTGCAAACTTTTATGGACTAGTGTGACAATCGTGTTCTATTAAAAAAGATTATATTTCTCTGAAATTCGTTGACTTTACTGATGCTACTGATATAAAATTGATGAAGGTAGCTTATTTCAACTTATTAAGATTTTAACAACTTGAAGAAATTTTAATCAAATTTTGATTTAGTTTACAAATAATTTGAAATAAATATAAGAACTAAATATTTACCTCCGCTGTAAAGGAAACTTTGAATCTATAATTATTTCCTTGTTTGATATTTTTCCCGTTATTACTTGTTAATTGGGTCAGCTATTATTTCACACGATATTTAGTTTAATAATTTGAAGTGATTCGGTAAATTGAACTTATAAACAACATCGCACTGTTTCCCTATTACTAATGTACCGTTTGACTTACATATAACCAACAAAATTTCGCTCTTATCTAGAGTAAACTTTGTGCGATTCTAGAATAAATGTTTATGAGAAAATATATTGTAAATAAGAAGCTTTTACTCTGAAACTAACTGGCTTGTCAGATTGATATTTGGTGATTCGATACAAAGAACAAAGAAATTAGCCTCCTGTGATCTACCTCTTAGACTTACAGCTTGGAACTTGTGGTATACAGAGTTGTTGTTTTGCAAAACGTAACCAATTCACCAGAATGTATGACATCTACTAAATACATGTATATCAAACCTTAACCGAAGAAAAACCCAACATAAGTGGATCAGCCGTATTGCAATAGACATTTGCTCGGTTTGTTTATGTTTATCATTATCCATAGTTTTATGAAAAAAAATGTTATATAATTATATTTACCATTCCTTAATCAAACAGTTCGTGCTGAGTTTAAATTTACCTTGCTAATATTACTTTTAAGGTAATTATCTATAAATAACCGCCTACGTTTTAATGTTTTCTAAATATAGTTATTATCAATTCAACGTGTTATAACGATTACTAAATTTGCTATAAACGACATATGTGTATACGTGTCAAAGAAAGGCAATGTGTTCTAGGGTGTTCAGTATAAATTCTTGCATCATTATATTGCAGTATATTATGCAACGTTGATTTTGAAGGAATTGTGACATAGTAAATCAAAACATTGAACGTGTAAAGGTGTATGTGTTATATTCTGTCTTTCGTAATAATTCTTAACCTGCACTGAATTGTAGTGAACACGTTTTTTGCTTTTTTATGATCTGGAGTTTGATTCTAGTACTACTATTTCCATTAACCTGGACTAACAAAGTTGATGAAAAACGTAAGTATTGATACATCTATAATTATTTACTCGAAGATGCCACTAAATTTATTAGTATATCCCGAATTTATCATACTCCGATTAATTTTACCAATGCAATATAATAAGATTACATAGACGTGTTATTAAATTCCGTAATTTTGATTTGAAATCAAAAATCACGAATCATTTCAGATGTTTTCATGATCCCCCCCCCCCCCCCCCTACACACACACTCGTGAAAAAAGAACAACGATGCACAGGTAGAAGAGCGCGAAAGCATGGTTTATGGTTTTTATGTAATTGATAATCATACGAATTTTACGACTCTATACTTTAAAATGACAAAAGCATCCAATGCCTGAACAAATAAACGTGCAGCCAGGAAGATTTAGAAAGAACAAAATATGTTGCAACACTGTACAAAATTATATCTTACATTTTGTGGCTTTACTTTTGGTCCTTTTTAGTTTTATCGGCTCTTCAAAGTTTGATTTTTTACCTCGAGAATCACTGAAAAAACATTAATTTACGAAATGCACAGTCATATGGTATAGTAGATATAATTGGTACCATAATGTGATGCAGAGAAGTCATTTCCATCCTGTATTGTTCAAGATTACTTATTTTCAAGTCACAATTTTCATTTTTTAAGTCACACCCCGCTTTTCCCTTGAAAATCAAAACATCGTGCCTACTCTTGTTTTTCTTCACTGATTGAGTTATATTCCTATGTTGAAAAATAAAAACTGAGTATATGTCGCATTGATATTGTTGGTTGATATTCTTTGATCAATCAGAATGTAATGAATGAGGACTTACGAAATCACGCTATTTGTTTTCCAGTAAATACATTTTTGGTTAGAGTTGTCTTTCTTTTGATATGTCGCTGACAAATCAGTTCGACCAGTTCACCAAGTTTCATTGAATTTAATGTATTTTGTAGTTTTGCCAACGGAGGAACGAATAGATATTACATGGAGTTTAAAGGGACAAACTGGGGTTAATATTACCTTTCAACATGTATATCCTATGCCGAGATGTGAATTACTTCATAACGTAAGAAACAATTAAAATAACATTCTATACTGTGATACATTTGATTACTTCAATTTGATTGGCAGATAGCAATCTGGATGCATTCCAAAATCATATTTTATTTTCAAATAAAGAATAAGAAAGCAACTGAAATTCTTGATTTTACTCGCATGTACTTATACAAAAAGAATGCTTCTTTTTGCAGTTTTATCGGGTGTGCAGTATATTAAAGCGATGATCGTGTGCACAGTATTAGGATGAAGCCCTTCTGATCTTCATCCGAAACGCAATTCGGTCAACGCTTTTATAATTCAATAAATTACCAAGACCAACACAGAGTCTGGACCTGCCTCGCTGCATGCAATTCATTGAGGTAACATGCGTACTGAAGAATAACTAATGAAGATGATTTCCAAACCTGACTTCAATTCGACTAGAATAAAGTACTTTCTTTGACGTAATGTTATAGATAACAGTTATTATAAAAATGTTCCTTATAAAATGAGTGTTGTAAAATTTCAAACTATCGCCAATTAGGAAATGCCTGCAAGGCAGATGTAAAAATTGCTTGCATGCTACAACTCAACATTATCAAGCTCCATACCAAATATAAGATTATTCTCTTCCATTGAAGCCAAGAAAACTTATTCACGAAATTTTTTCGTGTACAATGAGTGTTGTAAAATTGCAAGTTATCAGCATAAAAAAGGAACTAGCTGCATGACAGATATAAAAATTACCAACAATCTACAATTCAACATAATTAAGCTGCAGAACAAATATATACATCCCCCCCCAAAAAAAAAAGAAAATACACAACGTATTTCGGACGGACGGAGTCGAGCGGTAAGTAGACCTACTATCGCAGTTTGCGACGGGAGTAAAAGGACGCGTCTTATTCACATTCTTTTATAACAAAATCATACACAAATATTGAATGAGAACATATTTGGTTATTAAACTGCCTTTAAATGTATTTTTATACTTTAGTCGTTACAGTTGAATTGCTTATTTTTCATATAAATGCATGTATATACGTCAATTGTCTATTACTAAGCATAGTTACTAAAATAAAGAGATAGCCTCCCTAAGATCAAAGCTTCTGGCAAACAGTTCCACCATTGAGAATAGAAGTCGTTGGGTGTATATTCAATGAACAAATGGTTCTTCACTGAAGCCAATGACTGCTTTGGGTTAAATGATAGGCTTACAAATAATATAAAAAAAGGAGATTTGGTTTGATTGTCAATGAAACAACTATCCATCAGAGTTCTAATGACGTAGATATTAGTAATTATAGGTATCCATTCGGCCTTTAACAATGACAAAAACCCATTCCATATAGTCCGTAATAAAAGGACGTGACATGAAAAATAATCTGTGTTTTACAAATTGAATCTGAGCAAGGTTTTTTTTCAATCAAGTATTTCTTTTTATGTTTTTTTAATTTTTTGGGGAGGTTTTTTTTTCCTATACAATCTGCTTTTATCATATATATTCTTTTAAAGAAAAATCTCATTTCAACGACATACAGGAGTGATAACCATATGATAGACATTTTCTACAAAAATGCAAGTATATCGTTAATCAACAATTCAAAAATATGCGGAGGGAACATAGAACTTAGATGTACATTGATGGGTTTACGGATGCTAGTTAGCAGAAAACATGTTTTACCAGCATGTAATGGTAAACATTTAGAGACAGATTATTAATTAATTGATTGTTGCTAACTTAACGTCGTAAAAGATTACAACACTGGACAAGCTATTTAATATGAGTCAGCTTACCGATTAAAAAGAACAACCATGCGATCTTCTACAGCAAACAATCAAGTGCTTAATTTAAATCATTTAGAGTAAAGAAATTATATTGTTAAACATAACAAAGACTACATGTACATTATGTACATGCAAATCTAGCAATTAATACCGAATATGGTATTAATTAAAACATGCACCATCTTTAATAGTTAACACTGGTGAAGTTTCTCATGTAGGACATGTGTATGAAATTTGGGGAGGTTTTGTGTACTTTTGGTTTCATTTTCCTTTGTTTTCAGGAATTTTTCTTTTTTAAAACATGGTTATCAGACTACAAAAGTTCCATAGATGAACATACAATATATTTTCTTTTAAGAAATAATGCGTTCATTTTCTTTTTTTTTCTTCTTTTTTTTTCATTTTTTTTTCGTTTTTTTTTTTGTTTTTTTTGCATTATACAAGTACAGGCTTTATTCTCATTATTCAACTTCCATTATCATAATGATACATATTTTGTTACAGACAAACATTTCGAAATTACCACTTTGAGTAACACGCATGAACCTGTACTTGTTCCCTTGTGTATTGCTGTTTCTGGCTTTGTAACTACATGTATTGTAGCAGCTGTATGTTTGATTCGTGGTAAAAGAAAAGCATTGCTAAAACCGGAACATGAAGAAAACAACCAGGTAAAAAACTTGCGTTTTACAAAATCAGTTGATATTATTTCTTATGGCGCACTGTCGATTTATCATTTATTACAATTTACGGTATAACGCTTACATAATCCAACGCATTTTTTTTTCAAATAGAACAATTACTTTCTTTCCTTTTTGTGATGATTTTTCGTTAATAAAACTACAAATGAGAAAACGATTCTATATTTATAAAACCACTTTGAAAGAATATTACCCCACTGCCTCAAAAAGTTGACAAAGAAAATCAATTGTGAAGACTGTTGTTATATATGCGATTGCTATTTAATTGCATATGCATTTGTTAATGTGCGTTCAACATTTCAAACTCCTCAGTATATCTACCAGGGTTATCTACCAGGAACTGCAAGGTAACTCACATTCAATTTGATTAATTATATCAATCCAACCCGTAATTTTGAATATAACTATATAAATACAAAGCAATCACAAGAAAAAACTGTTGAAACAAGCCAAAATTATTATAACATCAACACTGCAAGTAGTTGTATTTTGCACTTCTTTCCAAAATTGAATGCATCGGTTAAACTTTATCAACATGGCGAACACGTCTATCGAATTCGAAACTATTTTGTAAACATTATCAATGCTGAGTTTGTATTAGAGATGTATAACTTCACCTAACACAAGGCTATACGGGGACGACCATTTGATATTCAAAAATGGGTTTTTTGTTGTTGTTTTTTTTTTTTTGGGGGGGGGGGGGGGAGGGGGTGTGGCCGCATTGCATTTGCGCCGATTATTACAAAATCTTATCTTTCATTTACGCCACAAGGTTATATTTCATTTGCGCCAAAAAATAAAAACTACATTTGCGCCATTTTACATGAAACATATAACGGAAAAGTTTAAATATAATAAGATGTTTTTATAGTATTCCCCCTGGGTAATCAGATTGAGTTCATACTCATTTCTAATACAAAACTGACAGTCACTTTAGTTTACAATCATATAGTGTTCACATGTTTGAGGTGTCAAGATGGACATTGTCAATTCGGGGACAAACAGAGAAAATTCAATAGTCTGTAATTTATGATGACCACATATATTATAATAGGTTAACTGATGTTCATAAATTGGAGACAAGTCGTTCAGGGGTACCAAAAAAAATTGCAAAGTCAGAATAACAACAGATATGGACAACAACAAAAATATAAAAACTCTGAACGAACACAACCATGGTTTTCAGTGCAACGTATCTGTGTATTGTGCTTTCATTATGGTTCTGTGATGACTGATTTCGGATGAATATGTTTTATTATGCAAACAAAAACTGTGCTTTAAAATTATTATTAAAACTTTCTTTTGAATAAATCTAATTTTTATCAAATCCTGTAATATTGGCGCAAATGAAATGTTTTATTGTAGGCGCAAATGAAATGTGGTTTGTGGCGCAAATGAAAGATTCTTTTGGCGCAAATGAACTGCCAATTGGCGCACAAGCAAAGTACCGAGGGGCGTATGTTCTGTTACAAACTGAATAAAGTAACCTTGCCCAAAACAGGATGAAAATGATGAACATTCTTCTCAACAAAAATAATTGTGTTCAAAAGCGAGAATAAAGACCCCCGACTAGCAACATCACGAAAATTAACCTTCAGGGACTTTTATATGTGGGATTTTCAAATATGCCTATACTGCATGGAAAATGAGGGTACATAGATATAAGAAGATGTGGTATGAGTGCCAATGAGACAACTCTCCATCCAAGTAAAAATTTATAAAAGTAAACCATTATAGGTCACATTACGGTCTTCAACACGGAGCCTTGGCTCACACCGAACAGTAAGCTATAAAGGGCCCCAAAAAATTACTAGTGTAAAACCATTCAAACGGGAAAACCAACGGTCTAATCTATATAAAAAAACGAGAAACGAGAAACACTTATGAACCACATCAACAAACGACAACTACTGAACATCAGATTCCTGACTTAGGACAGGTGCAAACAAATGCAGCGGGTTTAAACGTTTTAATGGTACCAAACCTTCACCCTTTTTCTGAAACAATAGTGTAACATCACAACATAGAAAGACACACTATAAAATATCAACTGAAATAGCTTAACTCAATCAAAGGACATATTAACATCATTGAACATACACTGAACAAATAAATTTGACCTATGACACAATGTAAATACAAAATAAATAAACCAAGGGAAGAATAATAAAAGTAACATATTATATCGGTAAGAAATGTTAAACAATTAAAGAAAAACAATATGCTCGAACAAAAATACCATCCATTTGCAATAACTTTAAACACAGGTAAATGAAAATAATTTTGTTGTTAGGTATACCTGTACAGTACCAATAGAGAAAGGAAATATTTTTACAAAATATATAATTTGGAATACAAAATAAATAAACTAAGGGAAGAATAATAAAAGTAACATGTTATATCGGTAAGAAATGTTAAACAATTAAAGAAAAACAATATGCTCGAACAAAAATACCATCCATTTGCAATAACTTTAAACACAGGTAAAAGAAAATAATTTTTTTGTCAGGTATACGTGTACAGTACCAATAGAGAAAGGAAATATTATTACAAAATAAATAATTTTGATGTTCATAGTACGAAGTGAAAATTTATAGTTATACCAAACACTTATAAAAGCTGGTATATAGACCAGATATAACCCTGAATAACATTAAATAACAAAAAAGCAATACAACTAGTATCAACAGGTCAAATAAAGAAGAAGGTACGATTAGAGAGTACTCGCAGTTACTGACAGCTAGTTAAAAGCCAAAACAATTAATAATAAAAAATCATGCATCAGAGACTAAAATCAACTAAAACACATCCCAGTGATTTAGTATTTTAACGTCATGGACAGTCAAAGAAGACATGACTAGTGCAATGCCAAAAATAAATGTATCGACAGACAGTAGGATAGTATGTATGTTTAAATAGGGGCAAACATTTTGCCTTGTAACAGATTATAAACGGAGTTATAATTAAAATGAGTTGTTGCAAAGGGACTTATTCGTAAAAAAACAAATAGAACTCTCTATGGATATCAAGTTCCCTTTTCAACCAGACAAGTCAACGCGAGTATCATTCCAAACAGTTAAACGGACGCCCATCATTAACACTGGTTTTAATGACTACTGACGGATGGAAGAAGTCCAAGGATGACAATATTTCAATGTTCATGTCATTTTCGGGTGTTTTTTTTGCAGAGAATATGAGAATAAATTTATTAATCTTTAACCTTTATTCAACAGAATTGTGTATGTTGAGTTTTCTAAATAAGGGGCGTTAAATATTGAAAAATCAATCATTCAATCAAAATTCTAACAATACATGTGTACCGAAATATGAAACGACTAACTACCCACTCTACAACAGGATAATTTAACTCCATGTATTTTTCTTTTTGTAGATCCTGTTGAATTCACTACCACTGTGACAGTAATTTAAAAAAATCAAGATCTGCATGCTTCAGGATTTTCATCGATATCAATTTAGGCATTACGTTTCGATTAAATCAAAGTAGTCTCCTAAGTCAGGAACATGATGTTCAGTGATTGTCGTTTGTTGATGTGGTTCATAAGTGTTTCTCGTTTCTCGTTTTTTATATAGATTAGACCGTTGGTTTTCCTGTTTGAATGGTTTTACACTAGTCATTTTTGGGGCCCTTTATAGCTTGCTGTTCGGTGTGAGCCAAGGCTCCGTGTTGAAGGCCGTACTTTGAACAATAATGGTTTACTATACAAATTAGGACTTGGATGTAGAGTTGTCTCATTGGCACTCATACCACATCTTCTTATATCTATTCAATAGTAAAAATAGACGTTTTACTATGTTCACATGCTTTATTTTACCAAACTTCAGACCAAATGTGATCTCTTCTTTCTTCTACCTGACTTTCTCTACTTATGTAAAAATTAGAACATGTTTTCAAAATGAGAATGGTCTGTTATAGAAATGCCTAGTTTAACTTAATATTGATTTACATTACATGTATATGTACAATGAAGTAAAACTAATATGCTACACAAACACTTACGATTACATTTGTTATAATGTTACATTCTTAAGATTTGTGAATATTCTATTGTTTAACCTACAAATCAAGTATGTTCACTGCCTCTGTGTTTCTATAGTTGCCTGCTAGCCGTAGGCAGGAGGTTATGCAAATGATGTCGATCCTAGACCGGTCAAACTAAATATGTAACTTCTACAGTGAGCGCGGACAATTTAGTAGTAAAAAAATAATAGTAGCGGCTCGCGGTCAGAATAGTGTGTGAGGTTACTTTATCCAATGTGGACTGTGACGAAAAAGCACATTCAAATACTTTTAATGTAAATATTTGTATTACTAATAGAAAGAAAGCGAAATTGATATACGCGTTTGGAACATATGCGTGTTATATGCGCTGCTGAACTCTGATGCGAAGGAAAGGGTAGACACATTGCAAGTAAAATGCATGTAGTGTATTAATCGAATACAAGGATGTCATGAAAATAAGGAGAGATGAATCGAGTAGAGGGTTTGACATGTTTCTCTATAAATACGGAACTTCTTCTTTTTTCTGTAATAGCAAAGCAAGAAGAAATACAGGCTGCAATTAAGCTCAACTATACTCATACGACTATTTGTTTGGTGCTGGTCTTGTGTGCAGGACGGACACGTGCATGTTTCTGGTACTATTCAATTTCATCCTACACGACGCCAACTAATATTAAAAACGGATATACAAATAATGTTTTGCTTTATTTGTACTTTAACTATAACAAATAAAATCTCGTGTATAACAGTGTTCGAATTTGAACAAACTGTAATGTTAACATTACTTGGGTTTTTTTTCGGAGAGAGGGAAGGGAGAGATATATTCCTCGGTCGGCGTTTAACCATATCGAATTCATTAAAAACCGATGACAACGATTTGGTATTAAAAGAACTGAACATAAAACGATTCTTAATCCCTGGTCGGTTTAAACACAGAGATGGCATTTGCTTTTTTCTACGCCAAGCAATAAAGAGCACAGACTGGTCGATAAATTTATAATTTACATGTTGCTTTCGTTTGTTCTGAATGTTTTCTTCGCCCAATCTGTCAAGAATAATCATAGTCTAACATAACTGATACATTTAACGTTCAGTGGCAAATATGTCATGCATATTCATAGTCATAATATACATTTAACCATCATTTAACCAACCATAATCAGGTAACCTTTTTCGTTAACTTGATACTCAATTAACAATTCGACAAATATATTTTTTCGATCTATTACATTGTGGTTCATATTCAGTGTGAAAGAATGGAACACCCATGATTAGATAATATTAACAATGATACCTTTTCCTATTGCGTGTCTGAACATGTTTTTTGATATGACGAGAAAATGCACTGCTGAGGACTGTTTTTCAGATTTTTATATTCTATAGGGCGTTATTTTTTTTATCCATTACCAATATATAATATATCATACAAAAATAAGAAGAGGTGATATGATTGCCAATGAGACAACTCTTCACAAGAGATCAAATGACACAGAAATTAACATTCATAGGTCACCGTACGGCTTTCAACAATGAGTAAAATTCATACCTCATAGTCAGCTATAAAAGCCCCCGAAATGACAAATACCTTGTCTTCGTAAACCAACATATTATATTTTTTTCTAAGTTACCTATAGATATGTATAGGGTCATTTCATTTCTTATATACCAGGGGCCTGGTTTTCGAAAGTATCTTATGACTAAGACATGTCTAATGATGGTCTTAGGACATGTCATAGTCGTAAGATATGTTTTCGAAAGTGTCCCAAGTTACGATATGTAATAACTTTTGTCGTAAACTTAAGACACCTTGCGACATGACTTAAGATGGTCTTGTGATTATCAACTAAAATTTTAATAACTTTTCATGTATAATTTCATGTTCATTACAATAAAAATTATAGATGTGTTGCTCAGTCGGCTAAATAGTAAAGATTTTTTCTTCTCCACTTCGTCAAAATCCCCTGCGACGTAAAATGTTGACTCCTTTTTTTACTCATAATTTTGTATAATAAATATAAAAATATTATTTCTGTCCTTATATAGTACTTTATCAACGTATTTGTACGGCCATTTCGTTAAGCGGGTACTTGGTGTATCGAATCTTAAAAGTATGTTCACAATCAAATAAAACTTGTATACATGATAATACATGAACGCGATGTTCATGATTTATTATACATTTGTATATACAAACTAAATTTAAACAAATTATCAACTCAGATTTTAATTCCTTTTCATATATAATTCCATTTTCATTAAAATGAAAAAAAAATATAAAATGTTCGTACATGTATTAAAATAATAAAATGGTAATTATTATTATGTTCATACTTATTATTTTTTTTATTTATTTTTTATTGGTATTTTAATCATTATTCAAAACAAAATAAAAAAATGTTCACTTAAGACAGTCATAAGAGCGTCATAGGTATGATTATCTTAGGACAGCTTTGATTTACATTCTATGACTTATCATATGATGGTCATAAGATGGTCATAAAACTTGTCCTAAGATAAATCTTATGACATATCTTGGGATACTTTCGAAAACCAGGCCCCTGAAGTAAAAAAGGTGGATATTGTCCTCTATCTTAAAATATACACAGAGGATAAGCACGACAAGGTCGATTCTTTGAAGGGGTTTTCAATTTATACAATAGTGATTTGCAATTGTCGGACGATTGAAGTGTTATACTAATTGGGTGGTGTTTATATTGGTTGTTGGAATATCGGGGCAACAATACAGAAACGAATTCACGGGATAAGTGATATTGGTATTATGCTTACTATTGTACGTAAATTGAAATATTACCTGTTGTGATTTTAATTTACTGTTCTCGTGGATTGCCTGCAAATGAATAAATGGTTAGGTGTTGAAAATCTGTGACTTTTTTTCCAATATGTGTATATGAATAGACGCAGACGATGGACTTATGTTGTGCCTTACACCACTGTCCTATGCTAGGGGAGGACTGAACGCTTGCAAAACTTGTTTAAGTTTCATGTGGACCCTGGCTGAAATGGCTGCATTTTCACCTCAAAATTTACTCTGAGGACAGACAAACCTGCGCATCTGGAAATGTTTTAAGGCATAGCATGCCCTAGATAAATAAACTTCTAATGCATTGTATGTTTTAGAAAATTTAAAACTTAACTGGATTTAGTAGTGCACTTTTTTTCGTCCCTGCAGAAGATGATAAAATTAACAAACAGTTGAGTTTCACTTGATATGGTCCACTCAGGTACACAGTTTAAATCACCAATTATTGTCAGGTATCTATTGTCCATCTATTGTCCATGTCAATCAAAACAGTTCACTTCAATTATTACCTGTGGGGAAGTTCTCAAACCTCTTTCCCAACTTTGTTTATTTTGGCACCTTCTGGTGGAATGAAAAAAAGTGCACTGCAAAATCCGGTTTAGTTTTTAATTTTCTAAAACATAAAATATATTTGAATTTTATTTATCTAGGGCATGCTATGCCTTCAAACTTTTCCAGATGCACAGGTTTGTCTGTACTCAGAGTAAATTTTGAGGTGAAAATGCAGCCATTTTAGACGAAGGGTCCACGTGAACCTTAACACTGCCGCATTCTGTATGTGACTGTCCCGAGTCAGGAGCCTGTCATTCAGTGGTTGTCGTTTGTTGCTGTATGTCATATTTGTGTTTCGTTTATCTATTGTTTTGTACATAAATCTTTGAATTGTTTTAGATATGTCATTTCTGGACCTTTTATAGCTTGCTTTCCGTACTGAGTTTTGCTCATTGTTGGAGGCCGTACGGTGATATATAGTTCCGTATCAACTTTACTAATAACTATTTCTAGGCATCTCAATAAATACTAAATACTATATATAGCCGATAGCCCAGCAATACTGGTGGACCCCATATTTTATCAATTTAAATATAATTGATAAACACAATATACATAAAGCATGAGTAGCAATGCACAATAAATTCACTTTCATTAAAGAGATCAATAGAATAATTAGCAAATTGTGTTCAAAAATATTTTGCTCTGTCATCAACGATCCCGCCGGCCAGGAAAAACCAACAAAAACGAGTCACCTCGGTCAAACTCCATTTAAACTGCAGTCAAAAGACTACATTTTAAATAAAGTGGAAAATGTGGGAAACCTGTGTCCAAACCCAAATGCTCGGAAGACCGTCTCGAGAGTTATACTTGGACTGTATATAAAGTAAATATACTATCTATATGTAATAAGTAATAACTTAAGTTACTCTTTAGTAAAATATCTAATTCCTACTAAATACAAATTATAATAACAATACAATTAAAAATGAACTTTATTTCACTGTTGTCCAGTCTGATGCTTGGCTAGAAGTGACCAACAAGGGAAAATATTCCCGCTAAATATCAATATCACGTGATATGTATATATACGTGTACATACGAAGTACCCGTATAAATAGTATTCACTAGTACCGTTATTACAGTAATTTCCCAGTATATACTATCGAACCATTGGAAATTATAATTACTTCTACGTTATTTGGTAATGCTACCGCATCTTCTTATCATCCTATTAGGTAGAGGATTTTCAAGATGGTGAAATGGGTATTATAGTTAAAACTTACGCTATGTGCATGGTCTTAATACAATATAAAGTTTGCTTTTTCTAATATAACTGCAGTAAACTAAAGTGAATATCGAAGTCTGATGTTGTAATCTAAATAAACATTAGAAGACAGCAACCCACCGACACAAATATCCAGAAAAACAAATCTAACAAGCCCTAATTCGCCACGAGTCCATAAAATGGCGGAAGACACCAAAGACTCGTTTAAGTCAATATAAGGTGTGAATAGATGTTATTGAGATAGTAAAAAAAAACTACATTAACGCAAAATTATCGAAATATCAATAAAATAATTATACAGTTATAATAAAAAAAAATAAAAGTAGAAGTATAAAAAGTGACATAATAAAAAAAATCTTGACAATATGTGTTACGACAACCACTGCCAAAGTTTCACTAGCATATGATAGGATAAAACTTATACTTAATAAATAAAAAAATCAGTCCTATATTTCTCGCATCTGGTTGTAAACACTTTGTAAAAGAGAACCGCCAGTTTCGATGTGCGGTATATGTTAAAACTCGTCCATTTCTGTCTGAATGAGGACGATAAATTCGATGCCTCGTGTACATGTACTTTAATAAAGGAGAAGTCATTGGGTGGCATGTTTGAGGCAACATGTCTGACCTCACCACAAAGCTCCATCATTTCAGTGAAAAACGAATCCAGGTTCTCACTGGTAGTTGCTCATTTAAGGCAGAGTTGTCTTTCATACCATACTGCATTTACTTATTTGATTCATCTGATTTATAGGTTCGTCAGAATTATGTCCCTTAATATATAAATTTCACTGTTTTTCTTATATTAACCGCAGATAATACGTTTGCTTACTTTATGCAGTTTTTGCAATTGTTTGAAAAAACATACTTGACCTCTTTATTGGTTTTTTTTTTTTTTTTAATTTAAACAAATAATGAAACCCGTGATAACCAGTATAAATAAAAATGTATACACGATGTATATCGATCATAAAAACATTAATATTTACGATGTCTAATGGAAAAAAAGGAATGTATAAAAAGACTTAAAGCACAGAAGATACAGTGTCATAATCGGACAGTGTTTTATAACGTGAATCGGTCCAGTTTTTTTTTCGAGTGCAGACCTGGTTTACCGGCGCTAATTTTTCACATATAATATCAAAAAAATTAATGATCAACTTATTCTTTAACAAACGACGCACATTTTTCCCATATTTCACCTCAAATTTAGCCTTTTATATTGTCAAGGTTATTTCGAGAACTACAGTATTACGCCTGGGTTTAAAAAAAAACAAAACAAAAAACAAACAAACTTGTACGGGTTTTGTAAAGAAATTAAAGAATGTATTCGGTGGGTCCGTGTTGTGTCCATTTGTTTTTCGTTTTGAATTTATCAAAAAACAAAAAACGAAAGTGTTTTCATTTTTCATTTTTCGTTTTTGATTTCACAAAACAAAACACGAAAAACGAAAGTGTTTTCATTTTTCATTGATATATATTTAAAGAAACACAATTAACACGACGGATGCAACTATTATAACATAGAGCCCCTGAATTTTACATCTGTTCTAATTGCAATTTGAGTTAGCAATCAATATGAATAAAAGCAGACGCGTGGGCTACATCAGTTAGACAGCAATCCAACGATACAAACAAGTCAAACGATATCAAGAGGTAAACTTATTTTTTTTTTATAAAACAATAATGAAACAGGCCCTTTCCTCTTAAGCAAAATTAAAAGTTTTTCTTATAGAGGAGTATGAGAAGAGAAAGCATATATAAACTAGATGTGTCGGAACCACACGAATGGCCTCGCTCGCAAAAAAAGCTTGAAGCCATTTTTAGGAGTTGAAATTTGAGAACGAAAGTCAGTATAACTGTTATTTTCATGAAATATTCAAAGTCCAAATCCGTAATGTCGTCACAAAAAAAGCGTAGCGCAACCAAAAGTAAAACTCGATCTGTAACTAATCATAGTAGACTCACATACTAACACTCAGCTCGATATGTGAAGGCGTTCAGAAAAAAAGTATAACTGCTCGTTGCGGATAATACTATATGGCCTCGACCTGAGTCGGCGGGGCCATAAAACACCTTATTCTGTGTGTATCTCATAGAAACAAGACAAGGGAACGAACAAACAAACAAATGCAGAAACTGTAATAAAAAGTGATGGTTAAGAGAACCAAAGGTGAAGTGGTATACATGCACACATTAGATGCATAATGGACCGTTCCTGCAACGGTTAACTCAACCATTTATAACGTGTCCGCAATATATGTTTTTTTTTTAATGTGCTATGCATATTATATTTTAGATCCGTTTGCCATGTTTGCGTGGATAAATCCAACTGCGATTTTGTTTTAAGCATACCACTCAAGTACACGAAACAACAATTATTTACATTTCAATATTTTATTGTCACTAAACTCTTGATGACAAAACATTAAACTAGGGTAATAATAATAACAATAACAAAATTAAAAACAATATAGCAATAACAATGATATCGACTAGAATATAACTACGAGTATAAGCAAAAGTCAATACCGTTTGATGTGAGATGATTTGTTTCATCTTTAATTTATCATCATTCCAAAAGTTCGATTTTCTGTTAACAATTTATGATGTAATGCGTCATTTGCCCTCCCAATTGTCAATATAACTTATGTTTAATATTTCAATTCCAAAAAACTGCTCAATCGTAACCCAAAATGTTTTCTATATTCAAGATTTATAGAATTATTCAATTAATGCATTTTTAAAAATTTGCTATGTGCAATAAAATAAGCAAAGTTTTCTTAAAAAAATAACTAAATGCAGGAAGAAAACAAGTTCTAAATTCGTTAGAAGCATGTTTTATATGTACAAATGCAAGTATATACATATAATATATTACACATTAAAACATTTTCTCCGTATGAATGTGCATCATTTATATTGTTGATACTTCAAAGGGTTATATACATGATATTTTTAAACCAGCTCTAAAAATATACATATCACATTCAAAATTTGTATTTATTTTTTAGGGTAGACAAACAATAAAATTACAAAGAAAGAGATTTAACAATAAAGTAATGGAGAACTAGGACGCCTGACCTTAGAATTTAAATTGTATGTGACTTTGTCATAGTTTAATTAAATTAAAAAGAGCTGGCAACTTGCCTCCGATATCTGATAACCTGTGTTTTATTACATATGTCAGTAACATTTAACCATTTTTGTAACGTTAACTAAGTATTTCAAGATATAACCTAGTACCAGTTAAAGGCCAAATACTGTATACAGTCTGAAAATTGACTACGGTTTTACTTATTGGTGTATTATAAATGCACCTCGGGTAGAAATAGTTGTTTTCCATATTAGATTCTAATTAATCTTTTCGACTTTCAATTTCAATTTTAGAAATATTATCTACATCGTGATTTAGTCAAATATATCTTTACGACTTGAGTATAATAGTTATTTTCAAATTTGTTGTTGTTTTCCCATTAGGTTATGATAGTGTTTATTTAGACTATGGTACTAGTATATGATCTGTATATGTCTTCTGTCAATTACTACAACTGTATAGTAAGGTGAACCAGACACGCGAATTGATGTTTCCAACTATATAAATGCCTCCTCGTGTATTTTAGCGACATGAAATTCTAATACTTGATTCGTATTTACAGATTGACGAATCCATTATCTCATCTGCCTTTATCCTTGTTTTTTCTATTTAAGTTGAAACAATCGGTCAGTAAATATTGTGCAAAAGTTTGTGTTCTTTGTTTCTTCTTGTGCCTTATAAATCTGTGCTCTTCATTCTGTAAACGAAATTAAAATTTTGTAATTGTTTTTAAAGTTTTTTTTATCACATTTATATTTGTTTTAAATATAGCATTGACTGTTTTTTTAGACAGTAATTGATTTGTGTATTGCTGGATTTCTGCCCTAGATAATTGCTTGGAAGCATTTTAACTTTTGTTAATATTGTCTTCATCTGTAATATTGATTTCTATTTTTAATAATTTGATATAAAGGTAGTCTTTGAATCCCGATTTATTTATTAGTTGTTATAGGCTTTGCAAGTAACTGCGAGTACTCATAGATCTGTACTTTGTGTATTAATTTCCTGATCTGGGTTTTTTTCTGCAACTGATTTTTACAGGGTTGAAAGCTCACAATCATGTTTAACCCCGCTATATACTTTATGTGCCTGTTCTAACTCAGGAGCCTGTAGTGCAGTGATTGTCGTCGGTTCATGTCTGTTATATTTGTTTTTCGTAAATTGTTTTTGTTAATAAATTATGCCGTAAATTATAACTTTGTACATTTGTTTCATCATAACTTTGGTGCATAGCTGGCATATTGACAACCATACCACATCTCCTTATTTTTATATGACATATCCTGAACATGCATGAAATAGTTGCCATTGGACGTTTAGAAATAAGTAACTAATATCAATTTTAACTCGTGTAAAATAAGGTGACAATCAATTGATATTTATAATTGCTTTTTTGGGGTGGGGGTGTTTGGGACAGGAGAATTTTGAGTACGAATATGCTGGCCTGGTAAAAACTGGAAAAAATAAGAATGCATAGCGACAGATTTTAAAATGAATTATAGTTAATCCGTTAAACTAATCCTCCTACCCACTGCCCTCCCCAGAATATCAAATGGTCGTCCCCTTACTGTTCCATAATATGAAACCATCAATTTCTTTTTTTGTGTGCACTTTTTCATAGGATATTTTCATCATTTGTTTTTAGTTGTACGGTAATATCTGATGGGATTCGATAGAACTACAATTAAGCAGACGTTTGAACTGATGTTTTAAAGGAAATATTTATCTTCATCCATCTTAATATCGTCACTACAGGAATGTCCTACATAGGCTGTCATACATGTACCACAAAAACGTTTATCACACAGCTCACATTCAACTTTATCTGCATTCATAAACGACGCCAGGTTTGTTATGTGCCTTTACCTAGGTCCAATCTACCCATTTAAAAGGGAGAGATAAAAGAGAAACAGAAGACATTTCAAATGCAAAAAAAATTGGACCTCTTCTGGCCAACTACCGAAGAATGAAAGAATAGGCCTCTGGTTTCATAGCGACACATTTTGATTTCTTTTGTTCATGCTTGTACAAAATCAGTCTACCGGGAGTTACGAACATTTCGTATACATTTTCACAGACAATTGCTGTTTTGTGTTGGTGTTGCATTGGTTTTCAAATTAAGTGGCGGCTTAAAAAATAGTATACATTGTGTAAGTACATATCATATTCACATAATCAAGTGCATGTAGTACCTCTGTTTCTTTTTTATCACTCTTTTTACTTTTCACCACTTCTGTAAATGGGGTGATTTCTTCAGAGTTAACTGTATAGTGAAATTAAGCATCATATTTTTATATGTATTATACCTTCTATTTAATTTTTTTTTTTCATTTACGGTAATCAAAACATATATAATATATTGATCGTTTTACTTTTCGAGAATCAAAAAATTAACAATTAGTTAAAAATATTCAAACCGTTTGTCCAACTCATTACGTAAGTGCCCTTCAGTAACAATATCATTAGTTTGCCATTTTTTTCACGTCTTTGGTGAAAGTTATGATATATAGAGAGAATCTGTAAAGACTGAATATTTTCATCAAAGTAAGATCTACAAGCAAGTAAGTTTAGCAGCAAACGCATAATTGTTGACTTTCTTTGACAGAAAATATAGTAAAGACAAAACATTATAAGATTGAAAAAATATCATCAAAGCAGCACCAAAATGCGAGGCTAGGATAAACAAAATAAAATCAATATCTATCAATATTAATTGGTCATAATGATTAAAATTATAAATTGAGTCCCTACCCGTACCACCTATATCATAGTGTAAACTAATTTGTATTCTTGGTGTTTGCCTTTTGCATCTTGAAACTGAAACAAATAGACACACACGCTGTCATGAAACCATAATTGGTTTAGATAAAATAACCTTCTTCTTTATCATGTTTATATTAATCATCTAGAACATACACTGTAAAAAAGGAGTTTAGAGATAGAACACTTTGAGCACATGTTTAGATCTAAACATGTTTAGGATTATGTTAAACGTGATATTCCTCTAAACATGTTTAGGGTTAGAACACAAGACACTTGAAGTTAGATATAACTATAAGCTAAACATGACATGAGCCTAAACATGTTTAGGTTTAGAACACAACAAACAATAGGAAGCACTGTTGGCGCGTGCGCAAATAATCATGCGTTTTAAATTTTGAAATTCCGGGATGCAGAAGATCAGCAATCCATGCCATGGAAGGTTCAAAAAGCGACAACGGAACTGTCAGATAAGTATTATCTATTATAATTGTCAATAACAATGTAATTAGGTGAAACTAGAGAGTGTCCTTACAGGAAATTTCAAACACCACAAGGTTCTTTACAATATCGACAAAAAGGGGGAGGCATACTATTTTAAATTTGTTTTACATCTACACATCTGAATTCACGTTTTTTTGTTAATTATTTATAAAAGGAATCGCAAACAAACGTTATGCTAATTATATTTAAAGAAATATTATTAAAATTGAGGTATTTTATACATGATACTTTGTGGATTGTGTTAATCTGTTTCAGGTTGCGACTGCTTGCACATCTAAAGATTCCAATGTAATGTTAGACACCGACAGTAGATTTTGGAGTTACTGTATGGTCTTTGAAGACTGATTGGATGACTCTTGTCACAGTAGTATTTACCACGAGTACTCAAGCACAAATATACCCGATAAACATGTTTAAAATGGGAACATGACGGAGGCTAAACATGTTTAGTATTGGAACATGACGGAGTTTAAGCATGTTCAGGAAAGAAACACCTAGAGGTTAAACATGTTCTAGAGGATTAAATATGTTTAGGGTTAAACATGTTCTTATGAGACAGTATTATGATGTTCTAAACCTAAACATATATACAAAGTAGAACATGTTTAAGGTTAAACATGTGCTCAAGTGAGAACAAAATTCGCGTTTAGGATTATGTTTAGACTCTAAACACCATTTTTACAGTGTATGCGACCAATTATTTGTTTTAGTTTTACATCCATAAACCGTATTTTGACTTAAATCAAAGTATCCGTTTTTTAAGAAATGGGTCTTGTCACATACATGTAATTTGCTTTTCCGAAATGTTAGTTTTCTGTCATTTAATTGTAAAGTGCTTATTCTGTTTTACAAACCAATATAGTTATGAAATACTAGTAGCTACATGACACTAAAAATATCAAGTATTTGACTGTTTTTGTGTACAAATATAGCCATACTTACCTCCAGGTTGCATTTCTCCCTTTATCGTTTTGCGCTCTGATACATACACATAAAAGAAGAGCAAGCAGACTATACACAGTATTACCAATGATATAAATACACCAATGACGGTACCCAAGAATTCCAAACTATATTCAGAATTTCCTTTCACTGAAAGTAAATGAATTGTAAATGCAATAAAGAGGATTTATGGAACGAGAACTGACGAATAATGTTTGACAAAAAAAAATGTTATCGATTGATTTCTTATCTTCACATTGTATGTAAATAGGAAGTGATAATGGACGGACAGGCGCGGGCAACAGATTGACAACTATAGAACCACCGATAAGTTAGCTGGTCCCTCAAAATAATAACAAATATTTTTTTCTTCTTTACAACCGTAAATTGTGTGACTGATTAACAACGAAACAAACAGATTTGGGAAAAACAAATATCTGACCATGACGATGATTTCCACAGTTGCCACAATGAATTGTTTTTCAAGGTTTGTAAGAAGGTTTTGGTCGGACCTTCAGATGTATGATATCAAAGATAACTTATACAAAAACATATTACCACTGCAATCTTGAAGGAATTTGGTTGCAATATCTATAGAATATAAATCTCCGAACATGCACACAACTGTCAGGTTACCACCACAGATGTCAACAGAGGAATGCGATGTGATGTTTATTATTCCATGATAGAACCGGTTTTCCTGGTAAAGTGATTCTTGTTGGTTTGTTGTCAGCACACCGTTCTGCAATGAAACATGACACAAAAACCCTATAGTATAATTACTTAGAACATTTATCTATTCTGGCATAATTAATGTTTATATTCTCTGGGGTCCCAAGTCAGGAGCCCCTGGCCTTTGCTAGTATTGTATGATTTTTAATTTTAATTTCTTGTGTATATTTCTGATTTTAGTATGAAGTCCATTATCACTGATCTAGTATACATGTTTGTTAAGGGGCCAGCTGAAGCAAGCCTCCGGGTGTGGGAGTTTCTCGCTGCATTAAAGATCCATTGGTAACCTTCGGCTGTTGTCTGCTCTTTGATCGGGTTGTTGTCTCTTTGACACATTCCCCATTTCCATTCTCAATTGTATTTGAAATCATAAGTGAATTAAAATATCTTGATTACGGTTTCACTGTCTTCCATTACTAATATTATAATAAAAAAAAAAACATTTATTTGAACTTTAAATAACTGTAATAGGAATTAAGAAAAAAAACTGTTTGTAACTTCAACTTGTTGAAAACATAAAGTACAACGTTGATGTAAGTCGTTACCTTCTTTTCGTATCATGCGATTTCTTTTTGCAGCATTTTCATGGAAAAGCCATTTACCAGCATCAAGTTGCTGAAGGAATCGCATAGAAATGATTCTAGAACACTTCACGAGTGTTTAAATATGAAAAATTCAAAAAAAGAAACATCGAAAAAGTTGTATTTTTCAATACCAGAAATTGAAAAGTCCTTGTAAATCAGAAACAATTACGGTGTTATACGCGTCACAAATTCGGAACTTAATATTTTACAAAAATATGCGACTTTGGAAATTAAATAATGCCGTCCTTTAGAAAATAGTTGTTAAAGTTTTAATCTCAATATTGTTTGAAGCACATTGAGCTAAATCAAAGCACATGTAGAATTCTGTAACACCAAAGCCTGAACTAAAAACACAAAGGAAACCATCTTGAAATGACCTTGACATCGACCAATCAGATCTCTAGTTTTATTTCATAAAATAACAATAACAACAACTTGATTTGACAAGCATGAAGGCCATTTACGAGATAAACGGAATAACATTAACAAGAATACAAATGAGCATACATTTAATTAAGATGATTTAAATAATCACAATCATCTCGGACAAAAACGAATAAAATGATTAATAATAATTTTCTTTCTATCATCAGAATTCTCCAAATTTAAAAGGTACGTACATTTCGTCTTCTAATTCATGTAATTTGAAATTGCCGCCAACTTATCTGATTATTAATAGACTACTGACGTATTTAATACGCATCGACGACAAACAATATTCCTACGACTTTTGCCATTTGGGAAATGTAAACGACTCGTCTTTAGAGATTTCGGCGATTAAATATTTCATACAATTGTTCTTTGACATCTTAACCAACAGCACAGGGGATAATAATCTACATAAGGATTTCTATCGAGCACTACTTTCTATGTGCAACTTCAAAACTTTCGGGTGGTTCGACGATCATTTAAGGTTTTTCTGGTCATATTTTTTGTACTCCAGAATAAAAAGTATGAAAAAAGTGTTCAATTAGTTATAAATAACATAATAGCCAGCCAGATAATAACAGTGGCACATATTTCAGCATTTATTGGGTAGAACACAAATCTAATAGGGTGCTCGCATAAAGCAGCTTAACTGCTTAATAAAACAGCTTCCCATTTAGTTGACATTAACAGCAATAATTTGGTCATAGGTGAAGAGTTCTCTCATTGGCAATCATACAACATGTACCACTATTTCTTATTTTTGTAAGTCTCGATCAATTATTTCAAATAGCAATACATAATTAGTTCCTTTAACTTGTATTTATTGTTTTGATACTTACATTAAACTTGGTTGTGCAGTTTGGTACTGGGAAAAACCTATCGAGATTCAAATGTACAGAAATATTTCTACCAGTTATTATCCATGACGAGTTCTTGTTTTGTGGCAAACCTTTACAGTAACAAAAAAAATTAAAGGAATAATAATGAAAATATATCTAAGGTGAAAATATAGGTCATGAATATATATCCATAATCATTACGTAGAATAGTTATATCAATAGTTTTGATGTACCTGTGTATCAAAATGCACAGACTTCGAACGAAACATACCACAGCTACATTTGTAGTTAAGCTTTCATGTAACCTAGTAATACGATGCACATAAATGTATATTTCCCCATTTATATTATTAGTTTTACTTTATTACAATAAGGTGTTCACATGGATTCAAAGGTTTCCTAGACTAAAATGATTTCATTTGTAACGTGACCAGGTTTTCACCTTATCGATAATCTCAATAGTATAATTAATTGCGACATTTAGTTAGTTATTTATTTCTTTGATACATGTAATTTCAGGTTCCCTTCTGTATGCTTGCGTATCCAATGAAAAACGTAAAGTATGAAATTCTTACATAAAAATGGTGTACTTCTCAAACAAAATTGAAGCATTATATTAGCTTATGGCATAATTGTTAATGTATTTCACACCTTACTGTTACTGTTATCATATTACATTTTATAGTCCAAACATTACAAGCTTTTTATAAAAGCGTTTAAAGCTCTTTAGATACAGTATTAATACAAGCAGCATTCGCCAAAGTTTGTTACAATGACTCAAGTTATACTACCTGTTCGGTGAAAAAGACTGGTTGAAGGATTTTTTTACTTAATTTCTGGTTATCTAGACATATCAAATAAACATTCTTGGATGGAAATTTCACTCGTCCGCTCAAGCGACGGATAAAATGAACGGTCGTATTCATAAAGCATAACAGTTATTATGCTTACACATGAAATTTGAACTGTTTATCTTCAAAACTGCTTCGTACGAATAAACATCTGACAAACACGTGTATGACGTATTGAAATCAGATTCAGTGGCATTTTTTATTATGAGAGAGAAACCATCAGTCACTTCATTTCCTGTATATTTGTCTGGATAAAATGAGAGGCCTTGATGAAGAATAACATCAGATTGCTTCATCCATGTAGTTTTTCTTAAACCTACTGCTGATGTATTGCAGAACAATGTCACATTACTTCCAAAAATACATGTCGTAGGAAGGTCTTCTATCGTCCAGTATAATACTGAAAAAAATTATGGTAAATGTTAACTTATTGCTATAACTTAGATATATAAAAAAAATATGTTTAGCAAAGTACCAAGTACGCCTTCTATGTTATAATAATGCTCTCTATGAATAACAGGCAGATTGTGAGAAAAGCTTTCAACGATAGACATTGACGAACTCCGCCGTCATTGGCAACAAGTTAACAGAAATAAAAGTATGAATTTATTTTCGCAAGAACAGAAATAAAACGATTGGCATTCGTATATATTTTAGTGTAATCCATATCTAAAATTCTATTTACTAATAAGTATAATTTATTTTTTATAGTTATACATTTGTCCACACATTCGCTATTTCATTTTCTTGTCCAGGGTATCGCGATGGGTTTTTTTCCAGTAAGATGGCTTATTTCATTGTGACATGAAAAAAATACTACCACGATAAACTTGAAGTTAGTGTTAAACACGTAAAATTATCAACAAAGTAAATTAGTGATTGCTCCAAATTTTAGGGATACTGCTTACCTTTATTGGTTGGATCTGCAGACGCCACAGTAAATACACAATGCAGGAATATCAATATCAGATTCATTTGAGTACGACTCTCTTGCAAGTGATGGCACATGATTAAGAAATACCAATTTCCATACAATATGAGACGATCGTCAGTTTGAAATGTAAC